ATTTCAGCTGAAGGGCAAGCACATGTCTGTCCTGCCATCTCAGCTGCTGAGAGAGGGAAATGAAGCATCTTTCAAATGGCTTCGGGAAGGCACCTGAGTCTCTGGAGAGCCTGAGAAGATTATATTCATATGGGTCCAGGCACCCTGTGAGCCCATGCTTCTGGAAATACTTGATTTATATGCATGTTACCAGTCTCTCAAGTCTAAAATCTCCCAGTCCAGCAGTCCCTAGACAAAATAAAAAGGGAAATAATATATAATGGGGTGGTGATTATTTCCTCCCCCTCAGCACTCAATTTATTACAGCTGAATCTTCTGAAACAACTTATTTTGTGTGACTCTCTTGCTTAGCAATCTGCAGTTGTTCTATGTGTCAAACAACATTTCATGGCTAATTTGGAAGGGTAAATGCCAGAAAAAATATCAGTCCATGCAGTTATGCTTTGAACGGGTTCACCTCTGTTTAGAAGTCCATTCAGTTGCTTTTAATTTGAACTATCAAATGCAGAGGCATTTGGATGCATTTCAAAAAAAGCTGGGTTAACACAGGCATCTTGATTATTAAGTGAGAGCAACAGCAACTGAGCACTTGCTGTCTTTTGATGTAGCACCTCGGCATTTTCAGCAGCTGAGTGACATAATATTCATTTTCATGAGCCGAGTAATGAATTCTCCTTTGTGCTTTCTGACAGCTTGCATTGAATCAGCAGAGATACAGATGACTTGGTTACATCTGTTTTAATTTTTGAGTCTCATGAATTGATTTGTAAGAAGCAGAAGCTCTTTCAATATTACTTGCCAAGATTTTGCAGCTGTGAATATTGGAACTTGAACAATACATAGCCCTTGCAGTCAGAGTCTCATGTTCTTCATACATCGCAGCTAGAAATCTTAGTGCTAAGTGAAAAATAAGTGGGGTAGCAGTGGTGATCTGGTGCTTGCCAATTTATGTAGTGTGGATGCTTAATGAGTTGCAGCATAGATGTAGTGCAAACATTAGCTGTTGGGCTGTTTGGCTGAAACACTGAGTGAAGAAAGGAACTGGGCAGGCAAGCAGGGAAAGGATGCTGCTCAAGTATTTCCTTGCAATTCAAGGCATCTTCAGGACATGTGTATGTCTGTACTTCAGAGCAATAGCTTCATCTGATCTTGACATTCTAAATAAGCCACTTTGGGTAGGAAAGCAGCAGTACAAATGTTGCTACTCTAGTGGTCTATGCGGGCTAATCTACCCAGTGACATTAGGACACATGGAGCTCTGCATTCACATAACTTCCAGCTTCTAGATGGTAGAGTTTCTATACTCTCCTGTTCAGTGTAGATACTTTGATAGAATTTTACTGTAATTTAGTGTAGCTTCACTGACGCCAAAAAATATGTTGGAAGTTGGTACATTGAACAGGAGCATTGAAAGAAGACCTTTGTTCATCAGCACTGTTTTTTTCCTTACAAGCTTTGGCACACTAGTTTTCTAAGACTGGTATAAAAAGAGGCAGTCTGATACTTGGAGCAAAGAAGGGGACTGGAACCCAGGAGACAACTCTAGGTCTGTTACTGGGTCTTGGTGGAAAAGGTTGTCATAACTTCTCTGAGTTTCTGTGGATGGCATGGAGGAGTAAGGTCCCATTAACTGTGTAGCCTGAGAGTGCACAAGTTTGGCCTACTTGCCCAATAGTTAGTTTGGGTTGCTTACCCCAAACTTACTTTGCAAATGGGAAAGCAGAGTAGAGGGAGAGGACTAAAGAGTGTGTAAGTCCATGCTCCCCTCTTAGAATAAGTGGACAAGGTGTCAGGTTGCATGCAGAGAGCTCTCACACATGCAATCATCTTTATGTTTCCTTACTTCCCTCTGGCAAATCACAGGCAAAAAAAAAAATGAGCTCAGTTCCAGTATGAGAAACCATGAGTCTGCAGTATTTGGGACAGTACAGCCCTCCACAGTCTCAGGAGTTACGCTCTCCAGGCCTTGGGGCGTCCTGTAGCTTGACTGGATGTCCAGAAGTCCTGGACAAATAGCCAGTTGTTTTTCTTGTTGGCTTAACAGTCCAAGTCAGTAAAATAAAATGTTTCTAGGGAAACCTGGATGTGTCTTAGCTCAAAGTGACTTGGTATGGTCTCAGCTCTGCTCCTGCAGCTGTGTTTTACCCCTAAGACAGGGCAGCCTGGGAGGCTGAAGACACACTTACTTGAGAGAATTGACTATAGTTACCTTGGAAGACCAAGTTTTTATTTATTTCAAGCCTTGAGTTAACCTCCTTGGCAACCTAAAGTGGTTATTACCTTAGTGAGTGATTTACAGGCACGTTAAGGCCCTTTTACAGTGCCAGAACAGTCTTAAGGGAGCCTTAGACTAAGTGAAAATCTGATTTGTAAACTTCAGTTTTATCTTAAGAATGGAGGAAAGACAATTTCCCTGTGTGGCAGGGTTCAGTGGTTCAAAGGGTGTTGAAATCCTCAGATGGGCAGAACTTCTAAGTACAGAAAGTATTAGTTGTGTTACACATGGCTCATATTTCTCCGTGAGTGTCAAAATAATCTTGTTTTATTCTCATTTGTACACATTGTGCTTTCCTTCTGCAATAGAATACCTTGTTCTATGTACTCGAGTGTCTTCTCCCTCAGTCTGTCTCCCAGCAGGTCATGAGAGCAAGTGCCCAGTGTTCAGGGTGAAATCCTGGTCTGATGTGACACAATATCTGATTTTGTATAAATACACTTCTTCCTGCAGTGCCAATTAGCCAGCCAGAGTATGGGTTTAAGAACCTCAGTAATCTGTTTAACATTTCAAATAGCCTTCAGATTTTTAATGACTTCATCATTTATTTGGAGGCCTGGATCCTAATACATTCTTCCTTAAAATATTTTTCAAAACTATTTTAGTTACTTTAGAACTTGGACTTTGTACCTCTTACAGCTGACCTAGAAACATATTTCTTGAGCTGTTCTGCTGTTTGCTTTATTTTGCTGTGTTTTGTGGTCTACAAGACTGCCTCAGATTCAAGTTACTAGCAAACTTAATTCTCAAACCATGTCAAAGAATACTGGAGAGTAAATAAAGGAGATCATGCCATTTCATCACTTCAAGGAAAAATTGTTTGTTTGCCTCAGAAGCCTTTTATTTTTGTGGGAGTAAGGACAGGAGAAGCAACAGGATAATTTTTTCTGCCGGGAAGTTTTAGTATATGTGTTATTTTAATTTCACTTTCTCATGCTTTTGTCATCTCAGTTATAATTTTCTTCCATCCTTCCTCCTTAGCCCTCCTCTTCTTACCCCTCAATCACCTCTCTTCTCCCTTGTCTCTTAATCTTCTTAAAAAAATCCCAGCCAAGGAGCTAAAAACCAACATCAACCCAGTAACTCCACAGATCTGCCAGTTCCTCTCATCTTCTGAAGCTGTAACTTGTACCATGGCCATGGGTCATCACTCAGATTCCTGTGCCTGCATATCATAACCTTTTCTTTGCAAGATGCTTGTTATACCTACTTGAAGGTGTATATAGACCAGGAGGACTAGGGAAGTGATTGTGCCCCTGTCCTCGGCACTGGTGAGGCCACACCTTGAATAATGTGTTCAGTTTCGAGCCCCTCACCACAAGAAGGACATTGAGGTGCTAGAGCAGGTCCAGAGAATGAAGCTGGTGAGGGTCTGGAGCACAGGTCTTACAAGGAGCGGCTGAGGGAATGGGGGTTGTTAGTCTGGAGAAGAGGAGGCTGAGAGGAGACCTTATCACTCTCTACAACTACCTGAAAGGAGGTTGTAGTGAGGTGGGTGCTGGCCTCTTCTCTAAAGTAACAAGTGATAGGACAAGAGGAAACAGCCTCAAGTTGTGCCAGGGGAGGTTTAGGCTTGATATTAGAAAAAATTTCTTCACTGAAAGGGTGATCAGGCATTGGAACAGGCTGCCCAGGGAAGTGGTGGAGTCACCATCCCTGGAGGTGTTCAAGAAACGTGTAGATGTGGTGCTTAGGGACATGGTTTAGTGAGTTAGGTGGTGTGGGTTGATGGTTGGACTTGATGATCCTTGAGGTCTTTTCCAACCTTAATGATTCTGTGATTCTGTGATTTTGTGAAGAGGGAGCTTTCCAAGACTCAGATATTTTTCTTCTCTTGTGTGCTTAGTCCCCAGCTGACCTCTGCAAGCTACCAGCGTATTGCTGGAAATCTTTGTCCTGAGCAAACAGGAAAAAAGTTTCTTACTATTCACCATCCTAAGATCAAAATACTAAATTGTTTGTTAATTACAGATAGCAACCTCATCTCTCACTGTTTTGCTGAAAATACTTAAATCTTTGCATAGCTTCCTTTTGTGTGTTTTGAACCTTGTTGATTTTATTTTCTTGTTGGTATCCTTTGCAAGTTGGTCTGAGCTTTGAGTTCCTAAAACAGGTGCCATGTTTTTTAACTGTTGTCCTGGGTGTTCAACTTCTTGGGCAGATCCTGTACCTTGAAGCACTTTGTCTCTGAGCCACTCTGAAATTCAAGACTAAGTGACAAGCCTGGTCTCCAAAATCTGCTGATGTGAATGATACATAAGAAGAGGATTGGTATTGGCCATTCATACAGTAATGACTGAACTGAACATTCATACAGTAATGACTGAATATTTGTAGTTTTCAGGAATTAAATTTCTGATTTGGGGTGTTAGATTTCCTATTAGGATTTAGCGGTATTTCTATGGGAAAGCAAATTAGAGGGAAGATGGCCTTCCTAGTCCCAGGGGTATAAACATGCTATGAATAGTGCTATCTAGGGAGAGATAAAAAAGGTTTCATTGATGTTCAAAGAGTGCTTTTCTATTATGCCACATTCTGCCAGCCTACTACTGAAACAGAGATATTTCTTAGTTTATAATAATCCTTCTTTCAAATACCAACATGAAATGTTTGCTGTCACATGTAGCTTCTTACCGGTTTCTTGAGCACAGAAAGAGAGCATATGTGGGTTGTTGAAGAAGCACCTTCAGTTGTCTAGTTACTAATGAGTTTTCTTCTTCCACAGGGAGAAAGAGGCTTGCCGGGACTACAGGGTGTGATTGGGTTTCCTGGAATGCAAGGACCTGAAGGTCCCCCTGGGCCACCAGGGCTTAAGGTAAGAACTTAAGAATTAATATTCAGAACACTCAGATTTCTCTAAGTTGTTGTCCCTAGGAAACACAAAGCTGTCTCTTTTCCTTTGCAGGGTGATACTGGAGAACCAGGACTGCCAGGAACAAAGGGAACAAGAGTGAGTCTTAACTTACTTTTTTGCAATTCTGATATCTATGGGTTTATATGTCTTTAACTCTTCATGACTGCCTTCAAGTGCAAGACAGGGTTAGTCTCTTCTTTGAGTTAATCAATGACATTCTGTTTTTCTGCCCAATAATTTCAGAGTTCTTGCTTTTGCATTTGAAGTTCTTTCTTCATTGGGCGGTCAGTGCCTTTGTCCATTTGCATTTTCACCTGGTACTTACCACTACATCAACAGCACTGATTTTAATATGCCTTTGATATCTTTCTGACATCCCAAAAAGCTTTTTTCCAGATTGAATATGAACCAACTTTATTACCTCATGCAAAATTCTCTGTGTTTGCCATCTAACCTCCTTGAAGCACTTCAGCAAAGAAGCTGACACACCCACGAGCACATACATGTTAAAAATGTTCACAAGGTGCAGAGCCAAGTTAAAGTCCCTTGACTTTGCTAGAAGAGGCTCTGAATGTTCCTGTAACCTTCCTGTTGTCATTTCTGGTTAAGGTGGCACTTACATAACACTTATTTTAGCACCTCATATTAGCCAGAGCCATGTCTTTTGGCTTTTTATGAGATGCCAGGCTCATTCTGAGCATTTTCATATTTCATAATGTAATGATGAAAGAGGATTCAAATGACTTGACCAATAATGATGCATAAATTTTCAGCTATACCCTCTCCACAAATTTTCAAAATGCTGTCTCAGTTTTGTTCTCTGTTTGCCTGCAGTTGCTGCAGCACATAGAATTTACTGATCAACTGAAGTTTGTGAGCTATTACAGAGGGGATATTCTGCTGGAATAAGAATTCCTTATTTCAGTCCATGATGTTCATGATACCCTGTGGTATCCTGAGCATTAATGTAAATTGGCATCTCCTGGAAAATGTGTTTGTGTGCTACAGTGCAAGTAGGATGTATATTAGCAATTATAAAGTTTTGGAAGATGCAAATATACTATCTGAGCACAAAATTCCCATACATCTTTTCTGCTTCATAATACATGTATTAGGAAACACTACATGAATAAATAAGCTGGTAGGATGAAAATTATGTGCCAAGTCAAACTCCTGATTCATTAGTCTGAAAAGGTGTTTAAGGAGAAAGAGTTATCTCAGCCCAATAGGCTTTTGGTAATAAGGATGAATTGATATGCTGATGTGGAGTATGAAAGATAGAGAAGCATCTTTATGTGCGTTAACATCCTCTTCGGCTATGAACAGGTGCCTCCAGTAAATTCCATTTTGGGAATGATGGTTGGGAGAAGACAGCACCTCTTCATTCCTTTCTACCTGTGTATAAGGCTCTGGTCTGGCTCCTGTTGAAGGAAATCCATATCGCTGCTTAAAATTTAAAGAAATAAAAGAAGTTACTTTCAGTTATTGATTACTAAGGTGCCATGTTTGAAAAGTTTTGAAGAGGAGAGATATTTTATCAAGAAGTTTAAAAGACACTGTTACTTGTTTTTTGACAGTCACCACTGGAGATGTGACTCAGTCTGCAGCTTGTCATTGCTGTTTTATGGGTTTGTCATTTTCTTTTATGTTTTTGTCAATTGCAGGGCCCCCCAGGAGCATCAGGCTTTCCAGGAAACCCAGGTCTTCCTGTATGTATGAAGTATATATATTTTTACAAAGAATATCAAAGTTTTAATTGTGGCATCTGACCTAGATTATTGCTAATATTACTAATTTCTTTACCTTCTTTTCATGTAGGGCATTCCTAAATCCTGGTCAAGATGGCCCTCCTGGTCCACCTGGTATTCCGGGATGTAATGGCACAAAGGTGACATTTACATATGTTTATAACAGCATCTCAGTGTTGAAAAAAACCCACCCCTTCGGCATATGTTCCCTAAACAAAACCAATTTCTCTGTTCCCCTCAGGGTGAAAGAGGTCCAGTAGGTCCCCCAGGGTTGCCAGGATTGACTGGGAGCATAGTAAGTAGATTCTTTCATGCTTGATTCACTTGTTTCAACCCTGATTCTTGAAATGCAAATATAACTATATACAATTTTATAGAGTATAATATGTAAAATATACAATACGGAGGAAAAATAACATCAAATATCTCTTTTTCCACAGGGACCTCCAGGACCTCCTGGAATGAAGGTACATTTTACTCTAAGTGTGTTCATATCCTGCTTCTAACAATAAGAATTAGGGTGAACTCCACACCCTCTAAGACTATCAGTCCTTACTTAAGGACTGAAAAATTGTACTGACATGTTTCACTTTGTACTCTGTTCTGCAGTCCCACTAAATAAAAACAGTGGGGCAACTTCCAGTTAATAACAATTGAACAGATGTGTTGTTCCATGCAGATGTTGAAAGGGTAAGTATTACATGGATTACAACAGAAAAAAATAGTACATTACATTAATTATGTATAAGTAGTATGGTGGCTGCCCAGTTGTGCATAAAGATTTAGATAGATTTTATGGTTCAAGCATTTGTTTTGATATTTGACATTTCATTTATCTAAATAGTTTCAAATAGATATTTGTGGAAGAACTTCATATAGCCCACAATATATATCCAACACATACTAAACAGTTTTCATAAAGAGAAAAATTAAACTAACTAACTAGGTATCTGAGTGTGTTTCGTGAGCTGGAGAATGAAATATTGAATGTCAACAGAGCTGTTGCTCTTTAAAATGAACAAATATAATTTGGAACTATAATCTAAATATAAGTCTGAATGTTGTCTCAGATTTGTAATGACATGACTTCCTGAAGTTATAAAATGCTTTTCTCTTTCTCTCACATGGGAAGAATTGACTTAAGTCTATAAACACTGAAGCAGTCAAATGTTTCTTCCCTAGGCACGTATGCAACAGGTACACAACTCCTGAAATAAAATCACTTACAATATTGCAACTTTGTACAAAAATGTGGGAAAAATGGGATCTTCTATGAAAAATAATATATATAAAGAAGTGGATAACTATCAGAATAGCTTTCTAAAGTAAGACAAAGTGGATTCCTTTTTTGAAGAAAACGGATGCCATGAATGGTTTTTATGTCAAAATTAGGTATAAGACTGAAGATCTCAGCCTGAAAAGAGTTTGTGAGGTTAACTACTTCTCTCAGCAGCCAGGTCAGAGGTTACAATTGTGTGGTGACACTGTAGGAGTGGCAGATTTCGTGAGGAAATCTTTCTGATTACCCATTACAATGCAAAAAATAAGGGTCTGAAGGAAGATTTGGTATTGGAATCTCTTCAGATGGCTTTAAAGGACATTTAGAAATTAAAGTCTTAACTTTAACCTATCTTGCTGTGTTTCAGATGAATTAAAAGAAGCAAAGTGGCATTTTTTAGGTCAGCTTTCCAAAGATTCCAAACTTTGCATAGCTCAAACTTTCCTCTCATCTCAATGTCAGTGGTTTTGAATGTATTTGAATGAATGTTCCAAGTGTTATTCTTTTTCTTATTATAGGGAGATCCAGGTGAAGTGATTGGTCTTTTACCTACTAGTGTGCTAAAAGGTGATAAAGGCTTTCCTGGCCAACCTGGACTACCTGTAAGTCTGAATGATATTTGAATAGCAGTGAGTTTCAATTTAAAACTATATCAGTATAATGAAATTGCCAAATAAATATCCCTTCTTAATTATGCTATTTTAATTTTTCATAGGGTCCGCCTGGAGCTCCAGGGTTTCAGGGACCAATGGGGCCACAAGGGCCTCCAGGAGAACCAGTAAGTTTCCTCTCATGGTGATTTGCACTTTACTTACAGAGCTTTGTTATAGGAAAGTTCTACAAGGTGTGTATAGCCAGTGTTTCTTGGGATTTGGGAAAGATTAACTGGTGGTTCCAGGCTTCATGTTTAGCCTCCTGGATGTTGCCTAGTCATTCTTGTCATGGTAAGGTAGGTTTTCAATAGCAGCTGCTTTTACAGTCATCTTCTTGCAGCTTTGGAGGGCATTTTTGTATGGGAGGGGTTTTAGTAGTTGTTCCTCACTTTCCCTCTTGCACCACTTAATTTATAGAAAATAAACCACAAACGTAGCAGTCAGATCTAAATCAAAATGTTTGCTGAGGTTGTTCTTATAGGCAGCCACAGTAAGTAGTACTGTGGAAAGTGGGACATCAACTATCTGTTACTATGGTAGTTGCCAAATGGTGAAGGCATTCCAGCTATTTGAAATTTTGACAGGTCTAACAGGTACCTAATACCTTCTCTTCCTGTACTGGATGCAGGTAACACTAGCAGGAATCAGCTATTTCCTTCTGTTAAAAGTCCAGTCAGTGTTTCTGGCTATTAAAGTTAGCTGTGTGGGATTTCTTACCCTTCTGAAGGAAACTGCAAGTCATGTAAAGGGAAATGGTCGTGCAGTTTAGTCAGTAATTGCACTTGAACAGTCTTAATGAAAGAGAGGTGAGAACTAATATTTAGCATGCAAAACTGCAAAAAAACCTGCAACAATATTTTACCATGCAGTACCATAGATTTTTTTTTTAATTGTCTCTTGTTTAGTTGCTGATTATTTCCAGCACTCTTAACTGCAAAACAAGCTCTGATGAGATATCTTAGACGGATTCTGTTTGTTTTTATTATTTATTCTAAGTTGTGAGTTATGCACAGTAGCAGAAAAAGACTTTGCATCTTTAATGGAGAGATTTGCATTTTTGCTATCTGTATAGAATAAGGCATTATTCCACCTAGTGTACTACATAGATACATATGCTAAAATGCATTGTCTTGTAGGGTCCTCCAGGGCCACCAGGACTCCCAGGAGAGAAGGTAAGACATTTTATCATAAAGATTAAGTCTGTTTATTTATTTGGTACACCAGATCCCCCAAAATTTGGAAACTAATGGTCCTAAAGGAGTAGGTTTTTTACACTTTGGGATCTGTTTTTATGTCTTAATGGGCATCATGAAGAGATTTTTAACACTTTTTTTTTCCAATTTGTGTAAATCTGTTATCTCACTTGATCAAATCAGTAGTAATTACAACATTCTATGATTATTTGAACTCATCTAAAGATGGCAAAATTTTCACTAAAATGTTGAAAAAAGAGCATACTGACAATAAAATTATCTGATAAATTAATTGCTGTGATGCAGGATTTACTTAAAAAAACAGCAGGGTATTTAGGAAGTAAATATTTATTTATTTCACACATGCATTTAAAATACATATTCTGTCTTTTATATCCTCTCTTAACTTTTACCATATACAAAATACCTTCATATCTCTGTATGTATGCATGCATGCACTGCTGATAAAAATTGACTAAATATGTGTAATTTATATTTTCAGGGCTACATGGGCTTGGGCTTTCAGGGTCCCAAAGGTGAAAAGGTAAGTCTCTTGAAAACTTCTAGAGAACAACTGTCAGAAATATTCTTGATACTTTGTTTTAAAAAAATAAACCATTGTAATCAATCAGTGGAGAAAATCAGCATTGTAATTTTTGGAAGACTTGAATATGTCTCTAACTTGCACCTAGATGAATAAAAGTCGTGAACAGACTTTTACATGACTTTACATTTTACCGACTTTGTTCATGATGATGTTATACTTGACAGTAATTTAGGTCATTATCCTGTTTTTCAGCTGTGACTATTACCAACAGCTTTAGATTGCAGTAGGCAGATCTGGAAACATTTACTCACTGTATTAGGACTCATCATGAGATTTATTTGAAATCAGTTTCATTCTGAGGGATGAGATTTACTGTGCTGTCCACAATTATCAGAATTAATTGTGGTAAGAGTCTTGAGGGCCTGCCTGCCTTAGTTTGGTTTGGTGGTGCATATTTGTGAAGCAGATCTTTCAGAGGTCCCCTTTTACTGTGTTTAGACTCAGCTGGGAACAGTTTTCAGAGCACACAGACTGGTTTGCTTTTGAATGAAACTAAGCCAAAAGATGTGCTCCAGGATCCCATTAATTCTCTTAACCAGCATCAAATGGGAGGTAAAACATGTTAGGTCTGATCTGTTATCTCCCACGGAGAGGTCTAGGTTAAGGGGCCTTATGTTGCGTTTTCAGAAGCCAAGAAATGCATGCGGTCATGGGTTATTCAGTAAACTGATAGTGTGTCTGAGCCCTTCTCCAGAAGCTTCTCATGAGTGTCATTGACACAGGCCTTTTGGAGTGTATTACTTAGGTGGGGTTTTTGTATCCACCACCTTATTTATATATTTTGAGCCACACTATTCCTAATGGATAGAATCTCTTGCAATATGACGTGTTGTTGAGATTAACTTGTTATCATAACATTTATTGAAAAATGTTGGCCATAGAAGTATGTGGAGATTTCCTGGACTCCTCAGGTTTGTCTTCAGCAAAAAAAAATTGATGCCGTTGCTGTGCATTATTGCTTGACAGAAATATATCAAGCCTTTTTTGAAGGCATTTTACTGTAAAAGATAGTGCTTTTGCATTGTATAAGGAGGTGAGGTTCTAACCCTGCAGTGGGCACAAACATACCAAAAATGTATGATCCACAGTTGCCATCTTGTTGTTGGCCTTTGTGGCAGTTATAAAACTGATGGAACACTGTAAGCTTTCACTAACATTTTCCTTCAGGCATCAACTTTCTGCACCTGACCTCTTTCCTCCTAATTTCCTTCTTCCTAAAGTAGGCACTAAAAAGCTTTTCTACTATTATAATAATTATTTGGATATGTTCCTGATAGTTGGCATTAGTCAATCTTCACCCTAAAAGGAGATTCAGAGATCTTTCTTCAGTGACATCTCTGTCTGTCACCTGTTATACAGCTGTGTCTCCTATAACTGTGTGTGTAACTCTTTCTCTGTCTGATTTTGCTGAAATAAGAATTTTAAAAAAGAAATAGCTGTATTTTTAAAAGAGAGTGGTAGTTTTCTTTAATGTTAATGGTCTTAGTAATGTTTGTTCTCAGTATCAGTACTGTTTTCAATGGACTCTCTTGGATTTGGTGCTGACAGGGAGAACAAGGGGTAAGGGGCCCCCCAGGCCCACCAGGACCAGCACCACATGTGAAAGAAAAAGGGACTGAAATAATAAGGGGAGAAAAGGTGAGACCTTAAATTCTTAATCTTGTGCTCTTCATTAAAATACAATCAATAAGAATTAGCAAACGAAAGTAAAACAGGAAAAAGAAAATACTAAGGCACCTACAGCCAATTTTTTTTAAAAAAATTATGTATTTTACTTCATGAATGAATTTTGATTGTCTTTCTAGAAGTATCTCTCAAAAATATATGATAAATGATAAATGCATAAATAATTGCATACATAAGCAGTGCAATTTCTGAGGAAAGAGGATTGATAAGCATAGTCCTGTAAACAGGTCTAAAAATTTGACTTAAGTAGCTTATACTGGACTTTTCGTGTACAGAATCACATTCATGGAATCTGAGTGCTAATGTATTTTTCAGTTATTGAATTAGGCAGTCTAAGCAATATATATTAGTATAATAAATTAGCTGAATGATTCACATTTTGTGTTTGTCTAACTTCTTGCACATCATACTATTAGGCATAGTTCTTGAAGTGGAGAACAGGTTTAAATGTGGTTTTTCTGACATGAGCAATTAAATTATTTACAACCTAAGTGAATAATGGTTAAGATTTTGCTTACTAATCTACATTTCTTTTGTAATTTCATTAGGGTGAGCCAGGTGAAAAGGGTGAACAGGGAGCCCCAGTGAGTATTGTGTAGATTTTTTTTTAATTACTATAAAAATTGTGCATAATATGATAATGTCCCTGAATATCTTTATAGCTATTTGATAAAAGCAAATTTACTTTTGAATTTGGCAGTATTATTAATCTGATGTGTATTTATTTTCCAGGGATTTCCAGGTTCAGGTTTCAAAGGAGAAAAAGGTGAACCTGGGAAGCCTGGTCCACGTGTAAGTATGCTCAACTTTATCAAGACCATAATTACAGTTGTTGCATTGTTTCCATAAGCTAATTAAACTTAGTAACAGTTAGTGAAACAGGAAATATGGTACATTTCAAACAAGCCAGTTTTGCTGTAGGACAGATGTACAAGTCAAGGTAGTAATAACATTCGGTACTATTAGTATGTAGCATGCTTTCAGATAGCTACAGACACCAAACAGTATCTTGTAGTGCTGAGGGCAAAGGCAAGACTCCCATTGATCCCAAATGAAGCAAGATTAAGTCATTCCAGAATAGAAGTAAAAGCAAAGCAAAACAAATCACTGCGTAGGAATGACTTTAGCTAAACAGAATGTGTTGAATTTATTTCAAATACTCTTATGTGCCATCTACAAAATAAGGCTGCTTAGCCTAAAGGTACCATTTCTTACAAAGAAGAGAAATGGAGCAAAAAATTTAGATGACTGAGATACATTCGCTTGCTGGTTGCTAGCCTGATTGCAGATGCTTGAGGCCATAAGGTCTGTTACATTTGCCTAGTCTGACCTATATTATAGTCTCATCCATGCAACTACTGTGTGAGTCATGCTGTATCTTTCATAGCTGAGCTGGTAACAAAAACATACGTTTTCTACATGCAAACGTATCTAAAGTGTTGTTTCTCAAATTGTGGGTCTTCATAAACTGCTACAAAAAGACCTAGCACATCTGTAGGTGTTGAATTGTACTTCAGTCTCCTTCTCTACTGTACTTCAAGGTCTGTTATCCTTTCAGTAAAGATATGTGATGGGATTGTCTTTGCTATCATGTATGTATTTTTACTCTTCCAGTAAATGAGGGCTTGGAAACTGGAAGAATGGAGAAATGTTGTCCTAGAATTCGTTGAGGGAAACCAGAGCATCTTTGAATTGTTCAGAAATATAGTTTTTGGTTTCTGCAGAGTTCCCTGAACAAAGTTTCTAAGATATTTTATGTATGATTGTTGCTGTTCAAGGAAATCATTGCTACTTCTGAAATTAAGCTAAGGCTTGAAAGATGAACAGATGTTAAGATCTGATATTCTGATTTAATGGAATGAAACCATATGATTAATTCCAATCACAGTGTACATTTGAAGACTCTCCTGATTTTACAGATTATATTTTCAAATAATCGTTAAAAATTACCCATAACCCTTCTTTGTGAGATACCATAGCTGCACAGTTCAGTGGTGGTGGCCTGTTTATGGTTTTTTTAAATAATTTTTATCCTTCAGTTGCATTGTTTTAGAGGGAATTTTTTGACCTAAAACTGATGGGATGTTTTTTTAGACTGAATTGGATGCAGTGTTTCTTTGTGTTTTAAGTATATAGTATATACACTTTATTGGTTTTATGTGATGTATTAATATTGCTTATGATATGCATACAATCTAAGCACTGTGACACCAACAGCCAGGCTCCAGTGGAGCCTGGGTGCCAGTCCCTTTGTAGTCCATAGGAAGAGGAGGGGAACACTGAAAAGTAGATGAGTCCATCTAGGTCATTTATCACATACCAGTTGATTACCTCAAGGGAATCTAATCCCTTTTGTAGGCTAACACAGTCATCCAATAGTGAGTCATTTTGCTCTGGAGGAGGGAGCCTTGGATTCTAGGTTATCATCTGCCCTGTGATTTGAAATTACAGCTTTCAGTTTAGAGGAAGTGTTTTTTACCACTAGACGACCACATGATCTGATATGGGGCCAATCTCCAAGCCATCTGCTGAAACTGAGGCACCAAATGTCTATAAATAAAAATGAAGCTGGAGAGTATATGTATAGAAAGGCATTGCTACGAAGGAAAAAGTTTCTGGGTGTGGTTCCAGTTTCCTGGGCTGTTGATGTATTTTATCTCGAAGCCTCCTGAACTGGAAAATCCGTGAGTTATTCCTGGATCTGGGAACAGATTTGCAGGATTTTGTTTAATTCTGCATCTCGTAGGATGCTGAGTAAAGTAAGCATTAGGCAGTCACAATTTTCCTGCTTTATACCCTCTGCACTGTTAGCTGTGTTAGCACACCTTAGTTAACGCATTGCAACAGTGATTATTTTGTTCTAGTGTTTCACTCACTGTATTTAGATATTGCATGTATGTGGCCATCCGTTTAAGCAGAGTGGAATTTGGTGTTTTACAGGGAAAGCCTGGAAAAGATGGTGATCCAGGACCAAAAGGAGAACCCGTATGTATTTTACTGAATTTCCAGTATTGTTTCTCACATTCAGAACAAAGAATTGTCTGTGTATTATAGATGATTGACATTTTCTAGCCTTCTGAATTGTTTACTTGAAGTTGTTGCTTTTGGTGAATTAGTGACTGGTTCGAAAATTTAAAACTTCGATGCTGCCAGAGCTAAGGTGCAACTATATTTGTCTTTTCTGGTTTTACTGTCTTCTACATGCAGGGTTTGCCTGGTGGGTTTGGGATTCCAGGACGACCTGGAGAGCCTGGTTTGAAGGTGCGTAGTAGCTGCTTTTGCTTCCCATCATGCACAAGGAGGAGTTAAGAAATTGTATGATGTGTTCATAGATGTGCATTAAAGCAACGAATGCACATAGTGCGATATTGAGTGAATGTTACTAAGTTGTAAAGTCAGAGACTAGGAAAAGCCAAAATTAAGGTATCTTAGTTGTCCCTGGTTTAGATCTCTTGTATTAATTGATTAATGCAGGCTTTATTTTCACAAGCTCTTTGCCCAGCCAGCATATGTACAAATGTACTTTCCTAAAAAATCCCAGTTTTGCTTTACGTAGTGTAAAGCAAACTAACTACTGACTGCTTATTGTAATGGTCCAGACACTTATCATTTGGAAGTTGTATCAGTCTGTATCAAAGTGTTCATTTGCTAAGGAAATTCTATTTTGTGGGGAAGAAAATCTGATCTGGGTTTAAAATGTAAATTGTATTTTGATTCAGGGTGACAAAGGTGAACGAGGTTTTCCAGGACCTCCAGGAAGAGTAAGTAAAATAAATTGTTTTATTTTTAGCTTAAATGAAAATCTAAGTTTTGTGAAAGACAAAGTGCTCAATGAGGGGAAAAAAGAGACTATGCATGTTCTGATCTTATTCTCACCAGTCATGTCCTTATTTTTTCTTAATGGATACAAAAGTTGAATACAGTTCTTTCAAGTATGTTTGAAATTTGGGAAACGACCTCTCGAAGAATATTAATTTCGATTATAGGCATTGTTAATCAACACAAAGTATCCAAAGAGAGTTCAAAAGACTTAAGTCTGTCGGCTTTGCAGTCTATAATTTTTTTTAACACGTCAAATAAAAAGTAGGATCAGTAAGCAAGAAATAGATGGTGCTGCTTTCACAAAATAGGGGAAAATTCCCAACATCTGATAATGAGGTTTGAAAAATGGTGCATACTTCCTGAATATTTTATTGCAAATGTTAGTATCCTGTATGTTAAGCTCAGATCAATGTTAGCAGAAATTACTAGAACAGAATATTTTAAACCTAAAGGTAATACAAATCTAATGGGTCAGTGCATACACCATGCTGAGATTTCTTGGCATCATTCTTGTTCAGAAAGGTGCTATAAAGCTTTCCAGTTAATCCTACTACTGATATGAAGGAATTTTGGTAGAATAGGAAATCTTTATTTTCTCTGGTAATTCCTCAGCAGCTACAACCTTCTCACAGAAGTTGTTACGTATTGCTGAAATTGCAAAACTGCTCAAAATTGTTGTCACAACCAAAATGGCCTCTGTACCATCAGGTCAGGATGGGGGAGATAAAAAACCAGGGCACAGTTGTATGTTTCTTGTGTCGTAGTGTTTGTCCTGTGATTCAGGTTATAGATCCTGGACCAGTGGATACCTTTGGTGAAAAAGGAGAGCCTGGAGTTTCGGGTTTGCCTGGACTGAAAGGTCAAAAAGGTGAAAAAGGTATGTAATTTTTCTTGTCTTTTTGATTGAGTTATACTTTTAGATTTCTTACTGAAGGAAATAAAAATTGCACTATCTATGAGCTCAGGAGCTCTATATGACAGTGAAATATTCCAGTTATTTAATTGCTTTCAGGTTTTTACATTTTGTTGTAGTTTGTAGGACACTGCTTCTCATCGTAAATAAGATTGCCTTTCAGTTATATGCTGGAAAAAGATAAACTGGGATCTGTTTTTGTGGCACTTAAATAATCCAGTGAGATTATTTAAGAAGGGTGGAAATCAACACAAGCATAAAAAGGATCATAATGCAGAGAATTTTGAGACTCCTTTTAAAAAGTCAGTACCTAAATTTTAGTCTTAAAATTGGCTTGCAGGAAACACGGAAAATCAAGCATTTCCTTGCCTGTTTTCCCCATTACAGACCTTACCGTACTGAAGAAAGATCAGTGGAGAAGATGGCACCCTGCAGGGCCTTTTCCCTGAATATATTCTTTGCAGATATCTGTAGATTATTTAACTTCAGCTTTGATTCAGGACAGACTAGCTTGTAATGTGTACTTAAATAATACGTGCTAGAAGTTCGCTGATGTTGGCATTGCTGACTTCACTGCCTAACTGAAAACCTCTCTTTCTAAAGGTTTCCCTGGTATACAAGGAATCCCAGGACCTCCAGGTATGAATTTATGGCCACTGATTTTGTTCAAGTTTTTCCTGTGTTCTTCTTCAGTGAAGACTCCCAAGAGACGTTTTCCTTGGCTGCTGCCAGTTACTGCCTGACTTACAGAGCAACCAGGCAGTGGCCTCTCTGGGGGTCTCATCATCTCCCTAGGCCCTTCCTGTAGATTGCCTTTCTTGTGTCTTGGATGTGCTACAACCTTGCTCTTTGTGTAGAGCCCTGATAACTTTCTGCTTAAGTTGAAGAAGTAGTGTGCACAGGTCATCAGAGATAGCCCAGAGAGTATGGGTCCATTGGGCAAGAAGGATTGTAAAATGTGAATATGTGCATGGGTATGTGCATATGTACCAATGTATGTATAGTCATATGTAGATAATTTGTTTTGCTCTCACTTCAGCTCTCTATGTGTTTGCATAAATATAATAAAACAAGGTTTGTAGAGAGAAATAATAGCATTTATTAAATCAAAATAATTCCTGAAGGTTTCCTGCTTTGACTATGTCACTTGATCTAATAAAAGATATTTCTTTTGCCTGCAAATGTTGCCTTATCCATAGGCTTCACATCTTCACATCCATGACAACACTGCTATTATGTATATATGTACATGTACATGTGTTTGAACTAAACTGCAATATTTGCTTTTTGAAAATTAAGCAAATCACCTGTGGAAAGCTGACTCTAGCACATCCTGCAGTGATACAACTATTACCTCCTTTGCTCACATTTTCTATCTTGACAGAGAGCTAAATGTGAAATTAATGTAAGGCAGGGTCAGAGAGTTTCCAGGAAATTTTTCACAGTTTAGGGAGGAGATACTATATACGGCAGGCTGTAATAGTCCCTAAAGAATTCTGTGTGGCAAGACAAGAAAAATTGTAGCTCTTAGTCTGTCATTGCCCTGCAGAAATTACAATTTGTGTGGCTTTCATATCTTCCTGCAATGTTGCAGAAGGCTCAAAATGGTTTAGCGATCAAGTCTAGTGATTAGTTGTGAACTGAAATAACTCATTAAAGTATGAAGACCTGTGTGACTGTGCAAATAGCTAAAAGGAGATTGTAAGTAGTTTTTTTCTAGCTGTTTGACTGCTTCTCTTTTTTTGTCTGTAGTTTGCTTATTATTCCTACAAACAGTTTTGGTTTTAGCATTTGCTAGTTTTGCTGAATACTTATTTACTGAAGTTCTTAGATATGCTTTCTCTTTCTAGGTGTGTTTAAGATTTGTTTGCTATGAGATAAGGAAGAGTGTAACAGCTAAATTAACCCTTGTGTTGTCAGTTTTTTTCTACCCAGCACAAGTTAATTAAATTAAATCTCAGAAAGGCAGTTAGTACAGAATAAGAGTGCTTGTCCAGTGACCTAAACAAAGTGAGTTATTCTGAGCTGTAGCATGTACGTAACCTCAATTTTGTATAAGCCACCAATAGTAAAAATAGTCCTTTTTTATTTTGTACTAACATTTTTCTGTTTCTCTGTGAAACCTAATGGAAGCTGTGTTGATAATGTTACTGTCTCTTTGTAACTTTTTTTCATTTATGCTCTACTTTGTCCAAAGGCCGACCACTTCCAGACAGGGTAGGATCACCTGGTGTCCCTGGAGAGAGAGGTGAAAAAGGTGAAAAGGGTTCTCCAGGATTCTCTTTACCCGGACCCCCTGGAAGAGATGGTTTCCCAGGTCCCCCGGGGTTGCCTGGCCCACCAGGTCCACCAGGAGTAACAGGTAGGTAAAACGCTCAATTGCTTTTCACAATGAAGACTCAGTAATGCACATTGCGTGCACATGAAAAAGTACAAGGAGACAAGATTATAGAAGCTATAATCAGAATGCAGCTATGCCGTGGAAGAAACATATCTGAGTTGTTAATAGATCACATAAAAGCTGTTCCATGATACAGCAAGCCACTTGTTTCCTTACTGGGACAAGGATTCTTTGCTAAATGTTTTTATAATTTCTTCAGAAGTACATTGTGGACTGTTACAATATAACAAAATAATTGACCTTAGTACATATTGGTTTCCTCTGTGTCCTAATATGCCAATTTAGAGTTATTTATAAATTTTTAAATTAAAAAAATAACAGCTACTAATATTGTTCTCGGCATAAAAGATAGCTGTTCAGTATAACAATTTACAAATATGCAGTACCCCTCTATGTAACAGGTGTAAGAACTGCTGACCAAGATACTACTCTGCTAGAGGTTTTTACTGTAAAATGAAATTATCTTACAGGAGAATGGAGTTAACACTTGCTTTACAGACATAAATGAAAAACTAGTAATGATGTGACAAATGCATAATAATATAGGTGCATAATAGAATCATAGAATCATAGAATGGTTTGGGTTGGAAGGGACCTTAAAGATTATCAAGTTCCAACTCCCCTGCCATGGACAGGGACACCCTCCACTAGACCAGGTTGCTCAAAGCCTCATCCAGCCTGGCCTTGAACACCTCCAGGGATGGGGCATCCACAGCTTCTCTGGGCAACCTGTTCCGGTGTCTCACAACCCTCACTGTGAAAAATTTCTTCCTAATGTCTAGTCTAAATCTACCCTCTTCTAGCTAATACCCATTACCCCTTGTCCTCTCACTACACTCCCTGATGCAGAGTGCCTCCCCATCTCTCCTGTAGGCTCCCTTCAGGTACTGGGAAACAGTTTTACTTGTTTTCATTTGACTGTTGTTTGTCAAACTTCACATAAACATTTTGACTATTTGTCTTGGGCTAGAATGATGTCAGATTGTCTTGGGTCAGAACCTGTGCCATAACATCTAACAGAACAAGCACAGTTTGTATTCTCATATCAAGCCTGATAAATATTCTTGTTACCTATTTCAGTTCCTAACATATGAAGTTTCTTGTTTTCAGGAAGCTTGATCAGTGTGAAGTTAAACAGATGTAAAGCTGCTCTTGACCTAGAACGTTTCCTAAAACATTGAAAACAAAAGTCAGGGTACAAAAAACTCTGCTTTATTACTTTCTCCAGAACTTCAATATTCTTCGTTCCTTTCAGGGTCAAAACAACATGGTTTCACCCACAGCATTTTTTCTTGGTCAAAATTTACAATAAAAATAGATTTTATGTAGAAGTTGTTTGTAACCTTATTATGGCAAAGCCTGTCTTTTTTCTGTAATTCTTGGGATTTCTTAAGTTGTATATATAAAATCAGAATATAGAACACCACTTAAATTTTTCAGACTAAAACAAATAAATAGAAAAATAAAATGCTATCCTGACTTATCACTACTCATAGATACATTCAGCTGGGACATTCATAAATGCAACCCTATAACAGAAACTTGCACTTGTCAAATGATATTCTTTATTGCATTTCCGTTGCAGATGGAATTGATCAGTGCCAGCAGGGAGAACCTGGTGCACCAGGTACTCCTGGACCTCCAGGAAGAGATGGATTTCCAGGAGAGATGGGAGAGAAAGGTAGTACTATTTTAAAGTGATTGCTTTCTAATGCTTTGTACCATAGAGCTTGGGTATGTAAAGAGGCTGAACAAGTTAGGCTCGATCCAGAGAAAGTATACTTAAAATTAGTTAAGCAAATAGTTCGTGGACATGGAAGATGTTTCTTGAGTCTCTGGTGAGTAAAAGAAGGATACTGTGTATTGAGTTGTGTGACACAAACTTAACTTACATTTCACTTAGCCTGCACATTTCTGGCAACTGATAAAGGATGGTACAGGTCTGAAAGAGGAGCTGGGAAGAAATAAAGGGTTGAGTGTAGCCCCAGTAAGTGTAAATTTAACAGTTCATGGCAATTTAAGATGTGAATTCTGAGATGAAGAATTAGGGGGAGATGGGTTGGGAATGGAACTGATTTGTGAATCATTGTCATGAGTATAAGTGAAGCTAAAATTGTAACACCTGTAAATAGGGCTGTGGCGTTTAGCAACATTGACTAAATGGACATACACAAAAATATGTTGCACTCATTTACATGATGGATGATCCTTCCTAATTTCATTCTGCTTACTGCTTTTGTAAAACTGCAGAATTTCAGTGGCTTTATAATAGAGATTCTCCTTTTTCTGCTTTAATCTTTTTATTTGTTCTATACTCAGTGTATATTTATCTTATTCTTTTTGATCCTCTTTAGCTTGGTCCCTGTTAACCATTCTGTTAAATATTATCCCTAGGATAAGACTTAAGTTAATTTTCATGCCAGTTGTTTAAAAATTTTAGAGAATTTTGAGTGTCAGTTTGCTGATAAATTGTCTTTGAAACATATTATTAGAAGTAACACATTTATTTTTATTCTTTCAACATGAAGAGTATTAAACTGACATTTGCCCCTCAATCCACCTGCTTGCAGTTGTCTTCAATGTTTTAATTGTTATTTATTAGTTTTGTTGGTTTTCTTTCAGGTGACAAAGGTGAATCCTGTGCCTTTTGTGATGTGGGACCTCCTGGACTTCCAGGACCACAAGGGCCCCCAGGTCCAGCAGGTAAAAACTCATTAACTAACTGAGAATTAACTACGTAAGCTAAAATCTAAAAATGCAATGTATATGATATAATTAATTACTTTTTGTCCCACTAATCAAATTGCTTGTGCAACTAATGAAAGGAAGATGGAATATTCCTATTTTTGGCCTGATTTCAAATTTTCACTGCAATGAACAAGAATTACCGATGAAGTCAAAGTTGGCCACAATGGAGGGTCTTTGCAAACCATGGCCCAAATATTTTCACAGAAGACAATGAAAGTGAAAAATGATGTGGAAGCATTTTCCCTGTGTGCCCAGGCTTGGCAGTGACCCGTACATACATTCCCAATCCTAGCATTAAATTGTGTGGAAAAAAAAAAAAATTGTCTGCTACCCTGTGAGAGAAGTGCCACATGCAAACAGTGGTATTATACTTAATGTTTGTTCTAGTGGCTGTGAAGAAAAATGAATGTATTTTAGGTAGTTTTAAGACTGCAGCGGTTGAGTGATAGGTCTAAATACTAAGGTGAATTAATTCCTCTGTCAAATGAATCATCAGCTTCTGAACTCATGAATGCAGACACATACAGCCGAAGAGCACATGATCCCAGACAGCTTCACTGATTTTAGCAACATTGGGTTCATGTAGCAGAGTTAGACGCTTTGAGAAGGATCACAAAGAATTCGCATACTATGAGCTATTTGTGAAAGCATGTAATAAACAGAATTGCATTTTTGTCTCTCTGATAAGGTTTTCCAGGACAATCAGGTTTCAAGGGTGAAAGAGGCTTACCTGGACTTGATGGCCTTCCAGGGGTACCTGTAAGTAATGTCTTGCCAAATGCTGTGTCTCTTATTCCACATGCGATCAAAAATCATGTGATCATAAGTGTGGTTGTGTAATAGTTCTGTTTAAAAACAGCCAGGCACAGTGATATGATAAAATTAAGGAGCTCTGCCTATCAAAATAAATGAGGAAGCAGTGTGGTTGAGCTATGAGAGGAAAAAAGAGCTGTCAGGAATGGGTTACATTTTTGTGCTTACGCATCATATGAACTCAGCAGGACGCATGACCTTCTGGATGAGCAAGCTAAGCAGTGGAGTTGGGAAAAGAAGTAGGATTTCACATGGAACAGATGCAGGTCTGCCCTGACTTTGTGAATCTCTCCAATAACTCTTTGCTATTGTGTACATACATATTGAGAGAGAGACAGTGCCATCTAGTGTACTGTAAGCAGTCTGATACTAGCATGCAATATGCTTTGGCAGTTCGTCTGAATTTTGGGATATGTGTGCAGTATATTCCATAAACCATGATTGGTTAGCAGGAAAGCTGAGTAGTTTTGGAGAAATAAAGGAAGACTGTGAAAGGGATAGTATCCTGATAACATGATCACTTGTAAATTGTGTTGCCGCAGCATAACACAGCTCTCGGTGAGTAAGGCTGGATATCAGAAGCAGAACAGCCATAAGCATAGCACTTGCCTAAAATGTAACAAGTTGCTCCTAGATGAGCACTGTACTAGCACAACTACATTTGATCTTGTCAGATTTCACTTGACTGTCCCTACGTACACTGTGGTATGCTGTCAAGACCTACCTTAGCATACAGGTTCCTGTAGTATGACGTGGATTTTGACACCATTCCTAATGTAAGTAGACTGAATTTGTCAGAGTTTTCCCAGATCTTTTTTTCCCAGAGATGTTTTCTCCTTCCAGCCAATCATTTTTTGGCAACATCACTTCCCAGTGACAATCATGTGTACTGACTTTAACACACACTGGAGTTATGCAAGCTCCCTCTGTCACCAGTGGTGAGAGGGAGGCACCGTCAGGCATTAAACCAACCAATCAATATTAATTCCTTTCTCAAGGAGTCTGTTTCTCTCCCTTGAGTATAAATAAAGCCTAGATGCCTGATTTTAGACAACTTGTTGTCTGAAATGGAGTCCATTCTCTATTTCCACCACAATAAACAGAATAGTGTTACTCAGCTACTGAATTTACTATGATGTAAGTGGGATCCATGAAAGAAACAGTGGAGAAAAATCAGACTTCCTAATGTATTTAAGCTTTTTCAATGTCTAGCATTTGTTCTCAGCGCATGTTTTGTCACACTTTTATAGTTTCATTTTATTGCCTCTTAAGTTCTGTTCATGTCTTTCATCAGACGAGGGCTGGCTGCTGTTCTGAATGCTTTGAAGCTTGCTTTGCTCCACAAAGTTCAGCCAGGTGGTGATCCAGCATATAGTTTATCTTGGAAACACTACGTAGAGGCCAGCCTCGCAAGCTCACATTGTTCAGAGCTGTGCCAGAGCATCCAAGTCCAATCCAGGATGCACCAAAGCTAATGGAAAGATTACCTGTGACTGTATTGTGGTTCAGGTTTTAGTGGAGGGTACACATCAGCCATAAGCAGTGGACGTTGCCCATGAAGTTTGTACTTTACTACCCCAGCAAATAGCTCTGATTCGCTTGAAATTAGAGAGACTGTTCCTATGAGAAAAGTTAATTTAAGTCCTAGAAACTTTGTGGGGAAAAATTGGAATTTAAAAATCCTATAGGTATATTATTATGTACATAATTTCTTCCCAGGAGAGCTTACAGAACTCTTCACCGAGCATGTGCGTAGTACTCTGATAGCACTGACTGGCTGTGGTTGTTAATTGTACAAAATTGATTATCATCAGTAGTGAAAGGAAACGTGTATTTGCATTAGCTAAAGGTCAGAAATAGACTACCCAAAGAGAAGGGTTTCAGCCTTCAGTTAGCCTTAGCTCTTGTGCAAATAACATTTGAGCTTTGTGTAAGACAAGGAATTTAATTTCATAGACAATCTATATATTTGATTAATATTATAGCTGATTTTAAAGGTTTTGGAAGAAAAAAACGCATGAGTGGGGCTTGCATAAGCAATTTAAACCTGTAAGTTTGGCTGAGCTTGTCTTTGCATACTGGAAGTATGCTATTTTCCTGTATTAGTACTACTTCTGCTGGTATTGCAAGTTATCGTGGAAATGTAGAAATACTTTTGTTGCATTTGTATCAGGGAAATAGGTTCCACAGTGTTACAGAATTTAGCTTTTAAAGGTTGGGGCAGACACTTTAACTCTGAAAAGGCTTTTTTAAAAAAACCTGGATTACCTTAATGCTGATATTGTATAAATATGCATAACTAAAATCCAGTGGGTAGTCTATTGAGAATTCAGCGTAGTTTTTTGGTGTCATGGCCTGCAGTTCCCGTGTAAGTGGTTTAAGTTTATATGCATCATCTGAAACGACATACCTGTGGTATGGTAAATGACAAAATAGTCAAGACAAGACTTAATGGTTTACTTGATTTGGGTCTACTCTTTAATTTCTGAAGATTTGTTTTATTTTGTATCAGTTGAAGGGTTGGTAGGGCAACTGATGACATCTGAATTTATGAAATTTCAGGGCCCCCCCGGCACTCCAGGACTTATGGGCAGCCCTGGGGCAAAAGGAGAACCAGGAGATTTCTCTTATCCTTCTATCCTGAAAGGTGACAAAGGAGATCCTGGTTTACCAGGACAACCAGGTACTCCTGGAAGAGAAGGAAGACCAGGAAAAGATGGTTTGCCAGGTCTCCAGGGTCCGAAAGGAGCAGCGGTATGTGTGTTTCTTTATGTTTACATATTGTCCTACTGTGTATTTCTTTATGTTTATGAACTGTCCTAGACACATCTTTCAGATCAGAATTCACCTGGTTTTATTCCCTATACATGTTTTATGTTTGTTGGCTTCGTTCATTGTTCCACATTTTGTCCTTACCTTGAATAGTTCATTCCTCCTCAGAGGAGGACTCCAGATTCCCTGGAACTAGCGAGGAAGATGGTCCTTCAACAACAGAGTATTTCAGAGTTAAATTTTAACCCTTTCTTTTTACATGTCATGCAAATAAGTCATCTGACTCAGATGTATTCAGACTGCATGGCTTATTACTTTCAGGCCTATAGATCAAGGTTACTTCCCCCACACAGTTGTGTGAATGGGCAATAGTTTTGTTCCTTACTCCCTTTCTCACAGCTTGATAGTGAGCTAGTGTGAATGATTTAGCTGGTATCTGAAGATGATTGAGGGGATGCAGTTAGCCAAGTAGGGATCATTAAGACAAGATTCAACTCTGTTCTAGCATACTTCTCATCTTGTGGAAACTAATCTTTCAAAGTGTTGCACTGTATCAGCTGATACAGGTGTGGAGCTGGATGAGGAGCTTACACATCCACCACTGGGATCATAGCCCAAATGGTCCAGTTAGCTGCATTGCACACTAGGCATGGTTTCCATGTGCTACACCATGTGGAGCCCAGTTCTGTTTCCATTGAACTCAGTGGTTAAAAAATCCACTCTTCCTCAGTGTTACAGATACCTGTGCTAAATCCAAGTTACAAAATATTCAGAGAGAGAGGATGATGTGTTCTGTCTTGCCAATCAGGCAAGAAGTACACTTACGCTTTTCAAAAATTAGGGTACAGCTGGCTTGAAAGGAGAACGTGGTCCCCCTGGCCAACCCGGATTCCCTGGAGTACGTGGTGAAAGAGGTCTTCCTGGCCCTCCTGGGATAGGCACCGCAGGGTTACCTGGTGACAAAGGAGACAGAGGCTTTGCTGGAACCCCAGGTTTACCAGGCCTTCCAGGTATATGCTTTTTTTTAAAAAAAAAAAATTATTCCCGTTAAGTGGTACAACTTAGAAGGTCACCGGAATTTAAGATTAAAAAAAAAAAAAAGACTTTCTAATTTAAATCAGTGTTTACTTTCAGCAGTATACTGGAAAATCTTTGAGGGCAGTTTTCTTTAAGAGTTTCTTAGGCCAAACAGGATGGTTTAGGTTCATCCTAAACCGAGATCATCCTACTTTTCTATCTATCTTCTACAAAAAAAAACTTAATAACAAGTCAATTGTAGTGTCATGGATGGAGTAACACTTCTGGCTAGGTGAAAGTCCCTTGTTTAATTTAATCAGTTCCTGTACTTAATACATCTTTACATTCACAGGAGCAAAGGGTGAAGCAGGACGAACTGTACCACTCCCCGGACCTCCTGGGGCAGATGGCCTTCCTGGGCCACCTGGTTTCCCTGGACCCCAAGGTACAGTAGCCTGTTAATCTGTGTATGATGATCATAATGGTCTGTGCCCCAGAAGCTAGCCTTTGCATTAACATTTGCTTTGTTTTCACTTGCAAAGGTGACAAAGGGAATCCTGGGCTTCCAGGTAGACCTGGTCTGCCAGGAGAAAAAGGTGCTGTTGGGCAGCCAGGTATAGGGTTCCCTGGACCTCCGGGACCCAAAGGTAAGATAAAGTTATCCATCTAACAGAGCTGGTGTAACTGGAGTGTGAATGGAAGTCTGCAGTGTCACCCAGACATGACTGCATGAGATTTGAGAGGTGCAGCTGAGGAACCTCCCTTGTGAAAGTCCACAAGCACCATAATAAGCGTACTTTCAGTGAACATTTGCTTCATGCAGTGGTGTAGTGCAGATATAGACAGTGTCAAAGTGACTGCCAGAATAGAGAGTGATATAGTACAACAACTTACATTGCAGCAACTGAGGTTGCTGAGAGATAAGATGACCTTCTGAGAGATGAAGCATTGTATGTGGTTGGTCAAAAAAACATGCTGACATAACTATGACATTTTTGGGCCAGAGCTTGCAGCTCTGCTGTGTCCCAAGTGGCTGAAAGTGGTTTGGTTAGAATACCAGCTTATTCAGCCTATGTTTAGTCTTCCCTGCATGGTCATTGTCAGGGTGTGCACTTAGCTTAGAGGGACTCTCAATATTCATATTCTGGTTTGGGATTTTTGAGAAATGTATTTCATAGTGCTGCTGCTACTCATTTAGGATTAGATGACTGAGCTTTCAGCAGCCACTTCAATCCCAAAAATTCTTGTGTGTCTTCATTATTATTTCATTTATTATAATTCCACACACCAATGAACTGGGAGGTTCAGAAAAACTTAATAAGGAGAAAGGGCAAGTCTTTACCTGTGACCACCTCTAGTTCCTCCAAGACTGGCATGAGACAAACCTGAACAGAAGAGGCCTGTTGCATCTGGAAGAAAGATTGCTGTGTGCTATTTGATGCCAGCAAGAAAGGAATGACATATCAAATACATTGCTTTCAAGGACCCTTCCTTGAATTCAACTCTGCACAGTGACTTTCCTGGGGCTTAGCCTAAAAGCTGGATTTCCCACTCCCTGAGACCTTTGCTTGGGAGAAGAGCTCCATGTCAATTTATTGGGTGTACGCTGATGTTGAGTGAGTGCTATCTTTAAAGTGATTTGCAGAGTGTTGTATATACTCCTTCCTGCATTCCCAAGGCACAGTGCATGGGCCAGCTGTGGCATAGAAACGTTCTGTGTGCAACCCACACTGAGACATGTAGGACATGCCACATGACAAATACTGAACAAAAGGTGTTGATTCACATATGGATTTTGTTGTGCATCCCTCAGTCTGATGCCCTGCACATTAAGTTGCCTCTTCTGAAGAAGACTTTGGGAACCCAGTTTTGCAGACAGGATGTTTCTCAATAATATGAACCCACAAGGCTGTTAAGAGCAGACATTCAGCATTTACTTCTTCTGGGTGGCTGTTTCTCATCTGGAGCCAAATGCTGCATGAAGCTCAGTGTTTGAACCTCTATTGAGACATTTGGGTGCTGTTATCCCTAGAAGTTTGATGTAAAAGACTACATGGAACTTTTTAAACAAGTCCCTGTGAGGATGCGAATAGTTCAGTTAGAGGCTTGAAGAAGCAACAGAGGAGACTGACAGACAGAGACAGAAATGATGCAGGTTTTGTTCTGTTTTGTAGGTTTCCAAGGTCAGCCTGGCTCACCTGGTCTGCCGGGGACTCCAGGAACCCCTGGCCTGGATGGTTTGCCAGGTGTACCGGGTTTACAAGGTCAAAAAGTAGGTGTCAGCTATTGATACTGTTATCTGTGACTGCCCGTGTTAACAGGAATGTGTGCAAAGATCCTGTTCTTTAAAAAAAAAAGAAAAAATAGTTGGCCAAACTGTCCTTAATCTTATGTTTTGCAATGTGCACACAAAGGAACAGAGTGGGTGGATGAATGCTTGACATTATCACTAAAGGGCTTACAGCTCTCCCCTGAATTCGTGTATAGTGCTCTGCCTCTGGGTGGTTTAAATACAGTCGGGGAATTAATTCTTGGTTTTGATGTGTTGATTCCCAATCTATCGTGTTTCTTTGGCTAGGGTGAACCTGGTGTAGGCCTCCCTGGCCCTAAGGGATTGCCAGGCCCCCCAGGCCCAGCTGGCATCCCTGGAGAAAAGGGAAATCCAGGACTGCCGGGTTTACGTGGCGAGCAAGGCTTTCCGGGCATACCTGGACAGCAAGGGTTCAGAGGTAACATCGCCAGAAAAATACAGCTCTGTATTTCTGTTTCTTTTTTAACGTCACTCCCCTGTAGATGCAGCAAAAAGTCTATTCACCACTGAGATATCCTACTGATATCCTGCTGATATCTCAGGGTATTGCCCTTTTTCCTTCCCCTCGTTTTCTCCTACCAACCACTGGTAGCAAATGCTAGCAGCAAAGAGCAGCCCTTCCTCTGAGCCCAGGCAGGAGGTATTAGAGGCTGAAATGAGCTCTTGCTGGCCAAGTGCTTCCAAAGCACTTTGTCTAGCATCTGCAGCAAACGAGATTTCGAATAACGTCGAAGGACGCTCAGTCTATGTCTCTGTCTGCCCGCAGGTGACCCCGGCCTCCCAGGACTGCAGGGCTTGCAGGGCCCTCCGGGCACTCCAGGGCCAGGCCCACAGGGGTTGCCAGGGCCCGCCGGGCAGCCGGGACCCCAGGGACCACCAGGTGAGAGGAAAATACTCCCATGACGGTGCTTAGGAACAGACTTTTGGCATAAATGGATATTGGTGTTGGTAAAAGCATTGCTTGTAGACTGTTTGGCAGTGTGAGGTCAGTGCGGGTGCATGAGGGCACACGTTGGTGGGTTTCCTCCATCTGGTCCAAAGCACAGGGAGAGGCTTCCTGGGAAAATGCCTGCCATTTTGTTCGGTCGCCTCAGGTCATTGATGGGTAATATTTACGGCATCAAAGCCTCACTTTGAAAATGAGGACTGTTTCTGCTGTCTGGCTTTGAGTCTTCGTTCTACATGCCATGTAATTTCTGAACCTCAGGTGGACATTATCAGATATTTTTGTTAACATTGTTCCCTGTGCTCCATTAAGGACTAATCCTGTATCTTCTGTTTTTCCTAGGATTTCCTGGAATAAAAGGAGAAAGGGGATTCCCTGGTATCCCTGGTCTAGATATGCCAGGACCAAAAGGGGAAAAAGGTAGCCAGGGCCAGCCCGGGGTACCAGGGTCTGTGGGGCTCCCCGGCCTGCCGGGTCCGCAGGGGGCTGTTGGACTGAAAGGATCAGCAGGTAAACATCCTTCTCCTCAGAAACCAGCATCTTTGACAACTGTATTATTAAGTTGGGGTAGCACTTAGCTAGGAATTGATCCATCAAAGAGCCCAAGCTTGGGAGAACACATGGGCTGACATCAGAAAAGCAGCTCTGTGCATGTGTAGCTGAACTGCTACTCAAGGCCTTTGGTGGATTGAATCCAGAAACTTGTGGGGACTAGCCTTTAGCCTGTAATAATGAAACAATTCCAGTGGCAGAATTTGGTTTTAATAATGCCTTTGTTAATGACAACATAATTTACTGTAACAGGAAGTTTTAAGGATCTGTCAAAAAAAATGCAAACTGTGTTTTATTCCAGTTTTCATAACATTATTTTTAGGGTTGTTTTCTCTATCAAGCTATTTTAGATTAATCATCTTCTTTGTCACATTTTTCCTTAAGTAGTGCAATTCCTGGTATGATAGGGAGTAAATTATTCCATTTCTTGTACTTCTTTACACTGCTTGCTTTATTTCTGTTATTCACTCTCTCACTTTGGTTTCAGGACCCAAAGGAGAAATGGGAGTTATGGGAACTCCTGGGTTGCCAGGAACTCCTGGACCAGTTGGAGATCGAGGGTTTCCTGGTGAAAAAGGTAAGAAAGAGATTTTATCAAAATCAAAACTGTAAAATCCACCTTTTTTACAGCAGAAGATAAGCCTGGAAATAATCAAAGATAAGGAGCATGCTTGGCATAAGAAATGTTTTATGTTAAGTAACTTCCCTGTAAGTTAGAAATAGGATAATTTAGAAAACCATATACTAGGAACAGTCATGTATTTGGGCACGGAGCCAGGATTTTTGATCCATTTTTCAACAATGTAAGGGTTTGCAAGGTACGAGGATGCTATAGATATTACTCTGAGAAAAATACTGTGTTTGAAATTACAAAAAGCAATCAGGAAGGTCTTAATTAAATCCTTCAGATAATTCCCTGTATTACTGCCAAACTTCTATCCCTATTGTTTTGAGAGTCTAGAATTAATGGCTGTGAGGCAGGAAAAATATGTCAACTTTTTTGACAGAGCTGTTATGAAGTCCTGGTAACTTCATATGAGATAAATGAGATGTTCCAGAGCATAGTATTCGGTGCTCAAAATCAGAGTAAATAGGTAATTTCATTTGTTGTTGTCTACTAAGTATTTTTCGAAAGTTTTATATGCCACTATAATATTCTGTGCTATCCTTTTATAGGTAGCCCGGGTTTCAAAGGTGTAGTTGGACCACAAGGTGATCCTGGTGTCAAAGGAGATAAAGGTGAAGCTGGTCTCCCAGGAAAACCTGGAACAATGGATACCATGGACATGGTTAGTCTCAAAGGCCAAAAAGGAGAACAAGGAGAAAAAGGTAACTTTAGTCGCTAACTGGATCAGTGTAACTAAGACTCATATACTGTTAAGGAGCAATGCTTTTGAGTTCAGATGTATCTTAGTTTTAGACAACAACTTTTAAGATAAGATTAAAGAATTTCACACTGCAAATGTAGATATTTTTCCAGTATCTTTCAACTCCATAGAAACAAAGATTAATCATAGTCAGAAGGGGTTTTGGTTGGATGGAAGAGGTTCAGTTTGCCCTTATAAAGTCCATTTTACCCCTTTTATCAGAAGACTCTCAAAAGAAAAGAACTGTTAAAAGTAGAAACTAGAGCTTACCAGAAGAGAAAAGGTGTCTTTTATGTGAAATATATAGTGGAAACACTGTTGTGGCCATGAAGACCAACTAATACTGTAAGAAAAAGTGGGCAGCCTTTCTTGGCACATTTCTTTGTGACCTGAAGAAATTTCAAGAAAGACGCACGTGTATGCCACTAATACCAAAAGATCAACTTATATCAGTTTAGAAACATCTGGAAATAGGCAGGAGAGAGGCAATCAGCTTTCTATTTGGAAATGGTGGTAGAGTTAGGGTTTTTTAGACAATGCATTCTTTCGGGGTTTTATTTTTACTGTTACATGAAGATTTAGTTGTTTAAGTTCATTCTCCTGTTTTTCTTTTCAGAAAAAAAGTAGTGTATATTTTATATATTTTTATTATTTGTACTTTTTTATTATGAGTTACTTTTAACTTTAAAAATCCCATAAGAGTTTTAAAATAAATGGTAACTGTTTTAGTTAAAATAGAAGTGTAGGACTTAGAAGGGAGCTACCGAGGTCATGTAGTCTTCATTTCCCTCAACCAAATCCTTCAGCCTCTCATTGTATATCGTATTTTTTTGAAATAATTATCATTCTTGTTACCCCTTCTGACTTCTCCGCAATTTGACTGCATCCTTGTTAAAGGGCACTTTGCTGAAACAAGTGAAGTACTTCAATTTAGGCCCTGCTAGAACAAAATCTCCCTTTCTTGAAACAACAGCTTACTCAGTTTGTGATTAGCTGTAATCCCTAGTCCTTTACTTCTGTACTGCTGCCTGTGCAGTCATTTTTCATTCTGTATGCATGCTTTTGACTTCTTCTTACCTCATATGTGGTGTATGACACTTTTTGAATGTCAACAGTGTTGATTTTCAACCTTTACTCCAACTCTTCAAAATCCTTCTGCAGTCTAATCATGTCCCCTTTTCAAGCCTTTCCAGTTTCATGTCATCTGAACATTTCATCAATGTAGTCTCTGTTGGTCCCAGGACAAAGCACTTGAGACTCCTTTCCAGTTTGGCAGTGAATCACCAATAACTACTATGTTATATTTGAACTGTGGGAACCAGAGAGTGTCCCAGTCTAGGTACCTCTTATCTCCATGTCCTGACTACTTGTCAGAATGAGATCTGGGCTGGTGTATCCCAGTTGGGTCTCAGAGAAACCTAGGCGTATAGATAGGCTGTACCTCCCAGCTTGGACAGCCAGGGACTGCAAGGGGGGGGCAGGAGTAAGTGTGGAGTCCATCTGCCTCTTAAGCTGCGATGCAGCTTCTAAGAGCACTTTGAGGCTCCCAGCCTATGAAGATTTAATCTTGATTAGTTTTTCTTGTTTGTTTCTGATCTTGATATATATATGGTGGCATGAAAAGCCTGAAAACAAATCCACATAGGTTGTTTTTGATTACTTATCTACTGTTGGCCTGTAGGTTGACTGATTGATAATTAGTTTTATTTCCTTTACAGAAATACGAATTAGGCATACTGGTTACATGCTTATTAAGAAGCCTTTGCTGAGAAATTCAAATGGCTAATTTCTTTGGTTTCTAACTTCTTCATCTCTCCAGCACTAATAACGCACGCTTGCAAACTTGTATGCTCTACCTTTTCCTGACCACACAGAGTCTACAGATTGGCCTGGCTCACACAGCCTGGAAGGGTAGGTTCCAAACAGACCTTGGCCTGCAAATTTCTACTCTTACTCTGACCATCTCATCCTCTTTGAACCAAAGATCCTTAGTACCAGCAGAGAAAAATAACCTAGTTATACTCCATAGCTTTGCTAATCTATTAGCTGCCTTCATCTCTCTAGGCATGTATATCACAGTAATGTTGTAACAAGGTCTAAAATACAATTTGTGCAGAAAAGACACAGTATCTTTATGGAAGATTGTCAATGATGTGTAATGAAAAAAATTGGTTTTGGACATCTTGGGATGTTTTAAATAAAATCTGCTTACTTAAAAAAACGTTCAGTGAGCTATGTTCAGTAACCGATTGTCCTGCACCTATATGCAACACTAACAGAAAGTGTTATGACGAAAAAGCTTGGACCTTAAAGCTGGAGAAGTGGCATATCACAGAATAAGAAGTGGAGCCTTTTGGAATGATGAAGATGCTTTATCATTAGATAGAACTGAGGAAACAGCAAATTTTTGCTGTGAACTGGTTGTTCACATGTTCCCTTTTAGACAGCAGAACAGCCAAATCAATCATTTCTGTTAACATGTGATATTGTCTGGCACTTCTGAAGTAGCTCATTAATCTAATTCAAACACGTTTGTTTGCACTTTCTTTTAAAGATATAACTTGCCTTGTAATTTGCACAGACACCTGTAAAATTGCCATAGTTCGCAGCTTTTCCTCAGCACTGGTTTAGTGACTGGAGAGTTGTGTTTTACTCGTGTGACTCTACTGTACGATGTATGAAGCTTGAATTCAGCGATTTCCTTGTTCAGCAGAGAGAAGCAACAGTGATCAAAAATAAACTAGAAGGATTATTATATGGCATGATAAATTTTGATAAAACTGATCTCACTGTGTTTGTTTTCTTGGTGTCCAGGGGACCATGGAGCAACAGGAGAAAAAGGGTTACGTGGGGATTATGGAGAACCAGGAATTCCAGGAAAGGATGGTGAACCTGGTACTCCAGGACATCCAGGTATGTCTGAAGCTAGCAACAGAGAGACTGATCATCAGGTATTTTAAACCACGTTAACTAATGGGACTCTTAATTTCTCTGCTGTCCATAGGACCAAAAGGGGATCAGGGCCCCCCAGGGTACCCAGGGGATCCAGGAATTCCAGGACAAAAAGGATCGGTTGGTGAAATGGGTTTGCCAGGTACTCATTACTGGGAATTTCTTCTTATTTTTTTGTTCCTCAAGTTAATAAAGAACATTTTGAGACCTGTATGGAATATTTGTTGGTGTAGATCTACTAAACGGTTGCACTATTTGCAGTGTCTGAACTTTAGGCTTTTGGGACATTGCTTTCTCAATGCTGTTGTGATATACAAATAATAGGGTGGTTTCCTAAGTTTCTACATGTGAATCTTTTATCTGGATATGTAGGATTTGTGTATTTGTTGCAGGCAGCAGTTTTTCAAGGGTTATCTGTTTGTCTGTCTCTGCTAGTGTGTGAACTGCATTAAGCTTCTTGTGTATTTTCCCCCTTCTAAAAAGTTTGGTGAGTTGCTGTGCACTGCATGTTAACTACAAACTGTAGTGGTCTGGGAAGAGTGTTGTTATGGAGGGGATTGGTAAAGAATAGAATGGAGAAGAACCTGTATCTCAACACGGAAGCTTTGTCTCCATTCAGATGGCCTTGTGCCTAGCATATTTGGGAAATCAAAGGTGAAAGACTGAAATGGTAACAGTGGACAGAAAAATTTGCTACAGCAGAGTCCCTTTGTCACTCTGGTCCTGTTAGAAATTATTCAAATAAACACAAACTTTTATTCAAATCATATTTTTGGCATGACCTCTGTTCACTCTGAATCCAAGATTATGACCTTCTCTTATGAGGAGAGCTTATCTTCCCATAGAAAGTCCCATTTAGAGAGTGAATCTCCAAAGTTAATTAATTTACTAGCTATTTTGGGGAGTTACATTGCTTTTCTAGCTCTGAATAGCTAAGGCAACACTGAAAAATCATTGTCAACACTAGTTCTGATATACCTATTTTTTTTTTTCTCTTACCAGGAACACCTGGAGAAAAGGGTCTGCCGGGAGTACCAGGTTCACCAGGCACACCAGGGTTCCCTGGGCAAAAAGGTGAAAAAGGAGACAAAGGTGCACCAGGTTTTCCTGGAATTGGCTTTCCAGGGGCTCCTGGTGAGAAGGTATTTACACCCCTAAGGATTTGATTGTCTGTCTCTAACAAGTACCTCATTTGAAAAGATGTTGGCCTTTAAGCTATTTTATTGTATTTGCCATTATGCTCATTTAAATACCTGATGAGAAACTTGAAAGGTGTGCATATGTGCAGGTTTAGATGCATTCTGTTTGATGGCACAGGTATCTCCAGGGTTCTTATTTATTATGTCTCTTCAACATAGGTGACCCTACAGTGCTAGAAACGTGGGGGAAGGGAAGAATTTTTAAAAATACTACATAAATAAAGTGAAAAGGGCTTCTTATAAACAGAGCAAATATTCACACTGCAATAGTGTTTCAGTACTGTTACAGAGATACTGGGAACATGAAAAAACGTATAAAATGTTCAGATATTGCTGAAAAGAGAACTGTATTAATACTGTCTGTAAAGTTAATTTAATCTCTAATAGGATTCTCATTTGTTTCACATTCATTTTCCTAGCTATACATTGACAGTAATCATGAATTTATAAGTAAAAATTATAAAAATAAAACTTACTAATCTGGTAGCAAATGTGCTGAAGACTTAAAATAAGATTTTTTTTAAGATGATTGAGTATGGTAAGTAAGTTAAGAGGCTAATTTGGAAAAGACTTTGTAAAAACTGTAATAAAAATGCATAGAAAACTACTCATTTTCATATGTAGGTATTAAGCATTTGCTAGAAAACTCAATAATTTTGAGAGTGGAATTTAATGCTAAATTTAATCCCAAATTACTCTGTTTCTAAATGGAAAAAGAATTAAAATCTTTATAAGTCTGATGGATAAGAGAGGTGACATCTACCATTGCAAAGAATTAATGTGTGGATTTTATAACGTGTGCTACTTCTTCTAGGGAGAACCAGGAAGAACGGGTAGTCCAGGTTCATCTGGAGATAAGGGTGAAAAGGGTAGTGCAGGAATTCCTGGAATGCCGGGTGCCCCAGGTCCCAAAGGATCCCCTGGCATGGCAGGATTTCCAGGCAAGTGTTTATGCTTTAATAAAACAGAAATTGCAGTGAAAAATTAATATGAAACTTATACCAAATATCCCACGTAAACCCATGTCTTCTTCCTGTATTTAGGGAGCCCCGGCCGCCATGGAGAAAAGGGTGAAAAAGGACTTCCTGGCTTAAGTGGCATTCCAGGTTTAAAAGGAGAACCAGGTAGAAAATAAATAGAAAACACCAAATGCTACATAAAGTATTGTTCACCTCCAGGCAGTGGCTGAAACAGATACTGTGGCATTCTACATCTGTTTTGGCTTGGATATTTCCTGGTACGTTTGTTCATTTCATAAGCAAAAAAAGACAGTGCTGTTTCCCAGGTAAATCTGAATCAGTGTCATGTGGGGCTAATACTTCTTTTGCACTGTTTGTGAAAGAGATTTTACCACCTTCCACAAGACTGGTTGTTGCTAATAGTTCTGTTGTTTCTGAGTTCATTTAACAACAGTAAAGTTGATCCATGGTCCCAAACCTGAATCATTACACAAACATTAAAGAGGAGATAGAGTAGGGAGGAGATTAAGTCCATTGTGGTTATGAGCTTAACAAAATTTTTGAACTTGGAGCTTTGTGTTCTTAGTTCACTGGCTGCAGGACACATTGTCTCATTGGACAACGGGCTGTGCTATTCACAAGTCTTTGCTGGAGTTTCTGCACTCCAAACTCACTGATTTTAATGATAATTAGCTATGTCAAAATCTATAATACTTGAACTCTGTCTCACACAGATTTAATTCAGAAATAAACTCAGAGAAGAGTGACACTGAAGTCATCAGGCAGTATCTGCTTGGTGTCTATGGGTGCAAAAGAATAAGTTAAGCTTTTCTTTAGAGGAAAAGAAGTGTAAAAAAAAAAAAGTCTGATGATTCAATCATCATAGGTGAAATGAAAATGGCAATGATTTTTCAGGTGAACCTGGCGTTCCGGGTCCTGCTGGTGCCATTGGACAGAAGGGTGAACCAGGTTATGATGGGATTCCAGGTGCAGCTGGTGCAAAGGGTGAACAAGGTACTGTGACTATCATGTTAAGTTCATGGGGCACGAAAATGCACAGAGACAAGCTACACAAGAGTAGCTGGTAGAGGGGTCTGCTGGGTTTGAAGTACTTTGGATGAAACCTTAGAAAATAAAGTTAGTATGGTGTCTTGCAAACTACTATCTATCATCCATCATTGTAAAGCTGATAATTTAGACAAGCAACTGTGTTTAATCAGTGTAATCTTGAAAGAATTTCTTTCACAAAAGCCGGCAATACTTTTAAGAATCGACATGTTTTGGAATTAATTTCAGTTTGCAATTTAGCTGTGAAATAATGGAGCAGGCTTGCCTTTTCTTAAGGTAGAGTTTTCAGTCATACAGGACCCATTGTGCTAGATACAATACCAATACATAACAAAGACAGTCTCTGCCCTGAAGAACTTTTACATAAACCATTTATTTAGATTTTATATTTGCTTAATAGAGTTTTGTTCATTAGAGGTTAAATGTAAGTACCGTCGCATCTTCTAATTTTTTGATGCCTCTATATTACAGGTATTCCAGGTAGAGGACTTCCAGGATTTCCCGGTGCAAAGGGAGATAAAGGTAAAACCCATCTTTAAACAAGCAGCAAGGCTCCCTCCCAACATACTATAAATATAATTCTGTTATTCAGACATATTTTCTACTTCATTCTTTTACATGCTATACCTTTTCAGAGCAGGCAGAAACTCTGAGAGGCTCAAATACTAATTTCTGTTACAGTGGCAGCATCTTGGACATGAGTTAGATATGCCCTAAAATAGGTAATTATTCATAGTGTGGAATTTACTGCAAGCTGTGCTGTGATGAGGTAATATAAATAACTCCCATCTTTGTGTGCTGTGCTTTTGACTCCAAGTATTTCTGTTTTCCTACTAATTTTGCAAGAATCAAAGACTAGTGAGGCTCTGTGCAGCAGACAGCTAAAGATAGCAGTTTTGTGGCCAGGATACCACAGTAATTTTTTTACCTGAGTCTGTTGTGCAGCCCAGATGCAATTTTATTAGTTGCTAAAATAGTTCTTTTCTATAGCTCAGCAGAGCATGTCTAAGCTGTGCACAGGAGCATGGTGCAGAGATGCAAAAAATAGCAGAGACCTAATGAGATTTTACTGAAAATTATTACCTGGACTCAGGTCTTATTAGCTTGGGTACAGGCACATAGCTATCACAATTTCAAGACCACTTGTGGTCTTTGCAGAGTGTGTCACTACACTGTGCTGTGAGAATGACTTGATTGGCTTGAGTCAATGCTTGTTCAAGGTGTCTGTAATGCACCATGCTCCATTTCATGAAATAAATATGTCCTAGACACTAGACCAAAATAGATAACAGTAGTGAAGAAATATCAAACTGCTGCTTATAAATGAAGTTGTTTACAATTAAAGGATTTTCAATTTTAAACTTACAAAAACCAAAAATTACTCAGCTAGTCTATCTATGAAATTAACATCACGTGGCAGATTTTGAAGAACTTACATAGCTTGAAATATGAATGCTCTACCTCACTCATTCATTCTATAAATACAGGAAACTTGTGTGGACAATCAAAAGTGATAAACCAAAACCAGAATTTTAGAATATATTTTATTTACCATCTCAGAGTAATTCAGTCATTAATTTCTGAGAAAGCCCTAGTGTTAGAGAACTTATTTTAATAAGTAAATTTTCCAATCCTAGCTCAGTCAGGCATGTAGAATGCTAGATTATGACACCACTTTTCTCACCTTACCCATCTCTCTCATTTTGTCAGCACAGCTCATTTAAAAATATTTGGTTTTAGAGTAACTAGATATCCAGCTGACATAATTTGTGTTCCAAATGTATTGTAGTTCCCAAAAAACAAGTCCAGGATTTAAAGACCCTGTTCTGTTTAGGCAAAGAGACAGGGGTGGTGTTCTTCATACATTTTAGTTCTCTTTTATTGTACTTATACTGGCTAATCTATATTCTTTTTGCTCAGTCATGATCTAAAATTTGACTGAATTGCAAAGGTTAACTATTTGTACAAACCTGAAAGTACTAAGTAAGTCTAAATCTAGATCTTAGTAAAAAAAAATATTCCCTTTTTCTCCAGGAGCAAGTCCCTTTGTGCTTAGTCAAACAAAACATCCATTACACAGCTATGACAATAATAATTGTAGTGCAGTAAGGATTTGGGGGCTTTGTATTCCTTGTGGAAGGACTGATAGAGACATGCTGAATGTTCATCTGTTTTTAGAGTGAATTAAAATAGCCCATTGATCAGTTTAGCTAAGAAAAGATATATCAATCAAACTACTATTTTCCACATAATTTATATTATAACATGAAGAATAATAGTTTTCCTAAAGTTTTGCATTTTTGTACAAATGTATAAAGACAAGGTCAATACTTTCTTAAGGAATAAAGCTTATTATGAGTGAATAACAAGGCAGAAGGTTACAGTGATTGTGATCATCTTTCTAATCATGTTTTGGGGGTTGTTTCAAATCTTAGGTGCAAAAGGCGAAGTGGGTTTTCCAGGATCACCAGGAAGTCCGGGGATCCCAGGCCTGAAAGGAGAACCAGGATATGCTGGTCCACCGGGCCCTAAGGGCAGCCAAGGTCTTCCTGGACTACCAGGAAGTGCAATTGAGGGCCCTAAAGGAGACAGAGGACCCCAAGGCCAACCTGGCCTTCCAGGTAATCTTTTTTCTTTAGTATTAATGTACTGATGTTAATTAAAGCTCACCTAATTAATCACTAGTATAATCAATATTGCATATCCTTGTTTATCCTCTTCTCACAGATCAGAGAAAAGCTCCCCTTCATAGACAGCTCACATTATGTCCTAGAACAGGCTGATTTTATATCCTCGGGCAGTTGGTTCTGTCCAGAAGTCTTTCTGACGTTGAGAAGTTTGCCTCCTATTTCCATGTTTCCCTTCGGAGTTTATTTACTGTTTCAAGGCAGTCATGGTTGTATGTTCCTATGTCCTGGAGTGTTAACGTGTCAAAAAATGGCCCGACATGGCCTTACTTTGGCAGTGGCCCTGTGCTAGACCTTAAGGAGGAGAGAGAGGAGAGCTGCAGTATTGTCTCTATCATATTCATACCTGAGAACATACCATCTCTTTGTTCTGCACATATAGAAAACTCTTCACTATTTTCTGTCAGCTGCGGGATGATAAATGATAGATGTCCAGACAGTTGGGGAGTCATATGGACCTCCCTGCAACAGATTCCCCTACTTATTTTCTTGAAATGTTATTATGATAATTGGTTTGGTTCTGTCCATCTGTAGATTGAGCCAGGTCATCCTCCATCAGGTACTGCTCTGAACTAAATATTCTCATCTTCTGGTTTGTAGGTTTACCAGGTCCAACAGGGCCACCAGGACCCCCAGGTCTGAAAGGGGCCAAAGGAGAACAAGGAAGCAATGGCTGGCCTGGGACTCCTGGGGGTCCAGGAGTCAAAGGTGATCCAGGTTTCCAGGGACTGCCAGTAAGTTACTTTCAGTACACTCAAGATTTGCTGAAAGCTGGTTCTTATAATTAATGGAGATATTAATCATAGATATTTCTTGTTCAAAGTCATGATACTTTATGCCCAAAGTGCCTTTGGACTCATTGCTGATGATGTAAGGTCAGTTTGAAAACATTTTAATTCTCTCCTTTTAAAGGCTGCCTACCAATAAGCCCCAGTGAGCTAATGAACTTATTAGAAATTTATAGATAGTGAGTGGTAACATACAACACCCAGAATATAATTTACAGTGTATTAACAGTACAGGATGGCTGCAGCACATCCATAAATCCTGCAAATGCATTAGTAGTTAATTTTAAAGGTTGCATATTTCACAATAAATTGCCTTCTGAAAATACCTGAACTGTTTGGTTTTGTTATGAAACCTTTCAAATAAAGTGCATTTTCAGTACTGTCAGTGATGAAAGATAGCTGCTGATTTAGAAATACAAACAGGCAATGCTATTAATACATTGTTGTCATATATTATTCATTTTCCCTGATCTAAAACAGTTCCCTTTCTGTATATTAGAGATAATTAAGTAGAACAGGACAGTCATGCAGAATATTTCATGTTCTATACTCTTCCTCTGTGAGTGTCTGCTGCCTTTCCCACACTGAAAAATATGCTCTATATTTTAACTTTTAATTTCCTCTTTCCTAATAAGAAAATAATAATAATAAAATTTATGGAAGAAGGAATAGGGAAGTAGATAGTTATGACTCAACAATTCCTAGTGTACAAAAGGAAGGAAGGCTTAGGAATAAGGTCCTGATGTGAAAAGCACTTAAAAGGTCCACATTATTCTTGATAATGAAAAGATCTACTGCATCCTTTTCTGCATCTGGGAGTCACTTCACAAAGACATTAAGGATTTGCTTCAGTGTTCAGATGATAGATCTTGGCTATGCCTTTTTGTTTGTGAGGCCATACTGTACCATCCCATCCCAGATTTGAAGGCAGCAAATTTCAAAATAACTTTACAGTATGTTTTCCCTATTTTAAGAATTTGCAGCATTTGTGCAGAGAGCTAGATCTCTATGCCTAAGGAATTTCTAAAGCTTTTCACAGGTTGATATTCCAGTTGAAGACTTTTTATCAAGAGTGGGAAATGACAAAGGATTTTGACTCCATGTCTTCAGTCAAAAGAAAATACTTTACTTGAGCCACAGTGCATAGTACTGGGTTGTTAACGCAGTGTGAAATGCTCCAGTGAGGGTTATTTCAATATTAAACTTCCTCTGGTGATACATACTAAGATGGGTTTCTAATGTCTTCATCCCCCCGATGTGACAGGCTCCTGCCCTGATTACAGCTCAGTTGCTTATACAGGTCTCCAGGTACATGGTAACCTATATCAGAAGGGAGATTTTGTTACAACGTGAGTGACACAGCTTGTCCAAAAATCCTATCTTTAAAAAAAATAAATGCGGAGATCAGACCATGAAATACAAATCTCCTGGGTTTTTCTGTGCATTTCAATGTTGAAATTAGAAAAGAAACATTTTCCTCACCTATATACTGGGCATGACATGTATGTTATGGAATAAATCATCGGTCAGTCTGGTTCTCAATCTTAACCTAAGAGCAAATCCTAGGCTAGCAGCTGGACTGTGTCTCTTTGCTCGTCTGCCGACCTTGTCAGCAGAACAAAACATCGGTTATCAGCTTTTCTCCTGAGCATAAATCCAAAACACAGTCTCTTGCTAGCTGTTCATGAAGAAGAGAAAAAAAAGTTAACTCTCTGCTTAACCCAGGGCAATTAAGTAGGGGACTATCATTGCCTTATTGCTCAGCCAGGGAGAAACTCTAAACTGTACTTAGAAGCTTTTTGCAGATGATCTGCAACAGGCAAAAGAAGAAAAGGAAATTGGCAGTCATTTAAATGTCTGTTTACAGTGTCTTTTGAAATGTGGGCTTGGTTTTTCTTAAGTGAGTCTACAATGAACTTCACAGAATCACAGAATGTTAGAGATTGGAAGGGACCTCAAAAGATCATCTAGTCCAATCCCACTTGTCACCATTAATTTCAGGGGACCAGTTTATGATAGTGAAGGCAGAAGGAGGAGTTCACATTGTGTTTGAAATGTTTTAGTCCTTGAGTATTTTAGCCCTATTGAAAAATAACAATCTTCAGAGGATGAGAAATTGTTCAGCACATTTAGTGTCATTCCACATGTGAATGTGGAAGTTTTCAAGTGTGCTGTGGTCTAGAATTACCCCATTTAATTATCAAACTAGTAACCCCCTGCTGGGGGTGCACTGAAATTAGTATTTGTTGAGATTTGTGCTTATTGATATTTTTCATAACAATATGGTCTGTGGTTAAGAACCTTTTTATTAGCTATGCTGTTAGTGAGACCTTATTCTGATCTCATATCTTTGTAAGGCAAACAGTAGTTTAGTACGAACAAGGTGTCATAGAATCACAGAATCATAGAATGGCCTGGGTTTAAAAGGACCTTAAAGATCATCTAGTTTCAACCCCCTGGCTGTGGGCAGGGTTGCCAACCACTAGAGCATGCTTGTTTCTGTAAAAGAAGCTTCTTATCTAATCATGGTAGAGAATAACCATTCTGTAAACTTAATGGCTTTTCTCTCATATTATTTTTTTTCATTGATTTCCAAAAATACACAACCTATTTGAAAGTCATATCATAATAGTGTAGGATAACTATGCTTCACATTTTCTTTTATACAGGGTAGTCCGGGTTTACCAGGAGATATTGGTCAAAAGGGTGATCTGGGACCTCCAGGAGTTCCAGGTGTTCCAGGTGAGAAGAAAATATACCGTATTCCTAAAAAGTATGCAAAGATGTCTTGTTCATATCCTTCCTCTCTCAAAAAGGATGCTTAAAGAATGTTGACTCTGTGTTACAAATTATTACATTGAAATACAGCATTGAAAGCTGCATCAAAAAGCGTACAAGAACATCAAGATTTTTCTCAAGGTTTTTTCCTTTTGCCTCTTGTCTTGCTTTGTCGTTTTAAGTGTGCACTTGCTTTAAAAGGTGGATGTAAAATCAATTGCTTAGACATTACCAGGCAAGAACCTTCAAGATTTTCTTGAGAACTGGAGAGGCAAATGTTATAGCTATATTTGAGGAAACACAGGCTCAGTAATTTTCCATTGTTGACTATGTTGCTGCTACTGTCACCATCATATACATGAAAACACCACATGTATAAAAAATTGAGTTATTATTAATAGAAAAAAATTCTTATAATTTGGAGAAAGATTTAATTAAAGTAAGAGAAATTTGTTTTCAGCCATCATTTATTTGGTGACTTGGTGCTGTTGTTTGTACCTTGTTCTTGTAAACAGTTAGAAGGTACTTGTGCAAATAAAGTGATGGCCCTTACGTGATCATGAGGTCGTACATGATTATTCTGCACATATCCTTCCAAATCAAGAAATTATTGAATTTTCATGTAAATATTCCCTTTGACTTCAGGTCCAAAAGGATCTCCTGGCTTCCCAGGCCTTAAGGGTGAGCGAGGTGACCAAGGTCTTCCTGGATCTAAAGGTATAGTATAAAGACTTGCTTTTTTTCCCATATGTTATTTCTAAAATGGTTTTTTGTGACTAACCAATGGATATCTCCCTCCACCTTCTATTCAGTGTTAAAAGGCAGAATGTTAAACCAGATAAGATAATATTATCATCTGAATTGTCAGATAGATATAAGTATTGAGTAGAGAGTGAATGTATTTATCTCCTGCTCTGAAAAATCAATACTGAGGTTTTGTCATTATTAGAATCTTTATATGGTATCCTAGAACTATAGAATTGTAGAATGGTTTGGGTTGGAAGGGACCTTTAGAGATAATCTGGTCCAAACCCCTGCCATGGGAAGGGACATTTTTCACTCAATCAGGTTGCTCAAAGCCCTATCCAACCTGACTTCAAACATTTCCAATGATGGGGCATCCACAGCTTCTTTGGGCAACCTGTTCTAGTCTCTCACCACCCTCACTGTAAAAAAAATTCTTCCTGAAGTTCAATCTAAATCTACCCTCTTTTCTGTTTAAAATTGTTGCCCCTTGTGCTGTCACTCCAGACCCTGGTAAAAAGTCTCTCTCTGTCTTTCTTGTAAGCCCCCTTTATATACTGAAATACTGTAATACACTCTCCCTAGAGCCTTCTCTCCTGCAGGCTGAACAACTCCCAACTCTCTCAGCCTTTCCTCATAGGAGAGGTGTTCCAGCCCTCTAATAATTTTCATGGCTCTTCTCTGGAACTGCTCCAACAGGTCCATATTTTTCTTGTACTGGGGACCCCAGAGCTGGATGCAGTACCCCAGGTGGGGTCTCATGAAAGCCGAGTAGAGGGGGAGAATCACCCGCTGGACATGCTTCTTTTCATGTAGCCAAGAATACAATCGCCTTTCTGGGCTGCAAGCACACATTGCCAGCTCATATCCAATTTTTCATCTACCTGTATCCCCAAGTCCTTTTCCTCAGGGCTGCTCTCAATCCATTCACCCCCCAGTCTGTACTGATATTGGGGATTGCCCCAACTCAGATGGAGGACCTTGCACTTGGCCTTGTTAAACTTCTGAGGTTCACATTTGCCTACTTCTCAAGCATGTCAAGGTCTCTCTGGTTGGCATCCCTTCCCTCTAGTGTATTGACTACACCACTCAGCCTGGTGTCATCTGCGGACTTGCTGAGGGAACTCCATGCAATCTAAGGTCTGGACAGCTATTTCAGTCCTTGGGAGGTCTGTTTGGGTGGAGACATCTGCACAGATAGGCTGTAGTGTTTCCATTTGGGTTTCAGCCACAGCCTTGCAGTTGTGATGGTTGGACACCATTTGCTTTCAGCAGGTCATGGTCTCCTTACGGTTATTAGAAACAGAGTCCATTTAAAACATGGTAGTTCTTTTGAAAGATGTCATCCTTCTGATTTTAATTCCCTGGAGACCTCAAGCTTCTGGGTAGGCTTGCACAGCCATCAAGCTCATTGGTCTGACAGCTGGGGCTATAGCCTAAGCCTGCTGGTGAGCAGAGCGGGCAGCAGCCCAGTAACTGCCAGTGTGCAGCTTTTCTGAGCAAATGCCACTGCCACCCCCAACAGATGCCACGCCCTGTTTGCACACCCTGGTTGCAGTGCTTCTGGTCAGAGCTACATCTGTGGGCCTGCTCTGTCCTGTCTGGTGGGAGACAGGCATGTAGGAAGTAGCAATATGGTTTTCAGCAGCAGCATGTGCAGCTACCTCGGTGTTACCAGAAGTTTGTCAGTGTCAGAGATCCACCTCAGGCTGTTTCCCGCATTGTACCTTGAACCCCTTTGTCTTCTTCCCTGAGTCAGCTTCAGGTTTGGCTTCTTAACAGGTATGACCTTACTCAGTGCACATATAAAATCTTGGACACATTAGTATCTGGTAGCTATAGGCTCTGTCCATTCTCTGACTACATAAACAGCAGTACAAGCTAACATTGTTTTCTCACTTTTTTGTTGTGCAATACTAAATGCTTGCTGATCTCCTCTGTTAACTTTGGCAGGTTTACAGGGCCCACCAGGCCCACCAGGTGCTTTTCAGCTTGTTAAAGGAGATCCTGGCTTACCTGGCCCTGTAGGACCAGTTGGTCTCAAAGGATTCCCAGGACTTCCAGGTCCCAAAGGACAGCAAGGTGAGAGTTTCTAACCTGCCAGTAGAAATGCCATTTAAGTAATGTAAAATTAGACCAATGATAGGCTAGACACTAGAAGATTTTTGGTATAGTATTGTCTAGCTTTTTATAAGCCATTTAAATTGTGTCAGCAATGAGGAAGAGAATCCTTCTTTGTCAAGCTCATCCGAAGGAGTACCAGAACAGATGCCTCCTAGTCATTTTTTTATAGGCTCTCACTCTGCAGTCATCACATCAGTATCTGAGATCAGCAGTAAGCAGAATAACTTGCAATACGTGGCTGACCCTTTCCCCAGAATGTGTTTGTTAGGATGTCTTCTGTCTTTAGTGTTGAATCCAAACTTGATTACTGTGTGTCTCTGGGAGAAGGGAAGCATGAGGAAAAACACCTTGGTCTTGGAGTGGAAAGTGCTTCCTCAGGCAGCTTGTTCCATAGCCCAAGATTTTGTCTTGTAGTCCAGATGCTGCAATTTTTATAAAAAAAAGTGAACTGCAAAAATTAAACGCATTAGGGAATATGAGAATGAAGCAAAGGGTAAGAAGTGAAATGCTGGCACAAGGATGCATGACACATGTCCTTCAGAATGACAGGACATGGAGAGTGGGAGCTCAGAGGTGTTCTTAAGCTATTAAGATCCTAAGGGAAAGCTTTGTTCCTGATTGTTTTATAAGAAGATGATGCGGAATTACAGTGGAATATAATTAATATCTTCTTTCTATTTAATATAATAGATATGGAAGTTTGCTCTTGAACATGAGGTTACAATTCTACAACTGCTGTCCATTAGGAAATAGCTATGAAATAATCTCAGTGATTTAACACAGCATGAGGTTACTTGTATGGGATCTGTCGCTGTTGCCTAGTAGTCAGTTCAATACATGAACACAATATTGTTTTTTAAGTGATCAGGAAAGGCACAGACAGCTGTGACTATATAAAGCTTTTGATGTGCCACAGAAATGTTGGTATGGTGCTGATGGTGTTAATGTCTTTTTCCCAAAGTCAGCATTACTGAGCTTATGTAGGACTCAAAGCACCCCTAGAAATTGATAAAGGGAAGACAAAATATATGTCTGAAAACCTGTTTGGGAAGAAGCTGAGAGAATATTTTTTTTCCCATGGTTCATGACCATAGTTTTTTATGGTCTGTTTTTGATTCAGTCATATGATAAGGAGAAAGGGAAGAGATTATTGCCCTACCTTTTCATATTCGAGGCAAATATTAGTTTTTTTAGAAGCACACCCTCTGCTTCCTTCTCTCTTCTGTACTCTGATCACTTCGCCTGCAGTAACCCACACATGTGCTCTAGATGTTGAAATATACACACTGAATCTCTATGAGTTTGGTTTATACTGAGGTGTGACTGTGCTGTACTGTGTTAAAAGCCAAAAAGTCAGAACTAGCATGAAGTAATACCCAATAATAACTACTCCTTATTTTTCAACAGGGGTGACAGGACCTTCAGGTATACCTGGACCACCTGGTAGTCCAGGGTTTGATGGTAAACCTGGGCAAAAAGGAGAAGTTGGTCCTTATGGTCCTCCAGGTAAGCCCATGAGTTCTTCAAAGACTTGATTCCTTCACAGAAAAATAACATAGGAGATCAGGTGTGAATGTGTCTAATTTCACTTATTTAGTTATGTAGGCAGAGTACTGCTGTCTGTAGAGATAAAAGGAGACTCTCTGTATTGTAGGGCCCAGAGGATTCCCTGGTCCACCTGGCCCTGAAGGTTTGCCTGGGGCTATGGGCCCACCAGGTGCACCGTCTGTTGCCCATGGCTTCCTTGTTACCAGACACAGTCAAACCATTGAAGAACCATCATGTCCGTCTGGAACAAGGCTGATTTACCACGGCTACTCCTTGCTTTATGTACAAGGCAATGAAAGAGCACATGGCCAAGATCTGGGTAAGTAGAGACCAAATTAGAATTCAGTTAGAACTCATTGTAAACCAAATGTTCCTTTCATTTGTGGAACTGTATTGAACAAACCTGTGTAATTATTATTGGTTAGCTTGTGCTTTACTATGCCTTCAACGTTGGTAGCAATAGCAGTTTGGTGTATAGTGGAAACAATGTCAGTTTATTTAAGAAAGTCTGTGTCAAAGCCATGGTCATCCATAGTGTCTTTGTAGTCAAAGTGAGATATGGGCTGGCTAGAGTAGACAATAAGGTGAGTAGAAAATTGATGGGTCCATCAGGCTCAGAGGGATGTGATCAGATGTGTGAAGTCTGAGTGGTGGTTATTGATTAGTGATGTCCCTCAGGAATTAGTACTGAGCCAATACTGTTTAGTGAATTTATTAATGCCTTGAGTGATAGGATAGAATGCACTCTCAGCTAGTTTGTGGGTAATGCCAGACTGGGAGAAATGGTTGATTCCCTAATGGACATGGTTGCTATTCAGAGGGACCTGTCCAAGATGGAGAAAAAGGGCCGAGAAGGATCTCAGGAAGTTCAGTAAAGGCAAATGCAAAGGGGTACACCTAGAATGAAATAACCTCATGCAATAGAACAGACTGGGGACTGACTGCTATTTCTAGTAGCAGCAGTACAGACTGCTAAAAAGCTACTTTGCAGAAAAGGACCTGGGAGTCCTAGTGAGCAACACTGAACATGAGTTAGCAGTGTCCCCTTGCAACTACTACGCCACTCTCCACTGCACATCCTACTGCGCTCTGTTCACAAAAGTGCAAGCAGCAGCTGGAGGGAAGTGATTCTTCCCCCTGTTCTGACAATTTTGAGACCGCATCTGGTATATTGTGCCCAGGCTTGGGCCTCCCAGAGCAAGTAAGCCCTTGATATACCATGGTGAATACAACAGCTAGCTACTAAGATGGCTTGTGGGGTCTCAACAGTCTGATGGAACTGGGTTTGCTCAGTCTTAAGAGAAATTTGGAAGGTGGCCTTTATTGCTGTCTACAGGGAGGGCAGAGAAGATGGAGCCAAACTCTTCTCAGAGGGGCTCTGTGACAGAAGAAGCAATGGTCACAAGTATGAGATATATTGCAGTGAAACATGAAGAAAAGCTTTTTACCACACTGATGCACAAACACTGGAATGGGACGCCAGAGAGGTTGTTGAATCTCTGTCTTTGGAGATACTGAAAAACTCCACTGGCTACGGACCCAAGCAACCTGATCTAACTGGCAGAGAATTGGATAGATGACCTCTAGAGGTCCATTCCAACCTAAGTTAGTCCATAATTCTACAGGCAAGACTGGGCTACTCCTTGCCTTGCCCTGTTTCTTCCTTATGGAGCTAAGAGAAGTCACTTCCTCTGAGAGTACTGGGCCCTCCAGAGCAAGTGTTGTTTGCTTTTTAGCTACTCCTGGAAATATTTGGCAGTTGGCAATGTTTTAACAAAAATGGGTTAACAAGTAACCTTTCACTTAACATTTCAGGCACAGCAGGAAGCTGTCTTCGTAAATTTAGTACCATGCCTTTCTTATTCTGCAATATCAACAATGTATGTAACTTTGCATCAAGGAATGACTATTCCTACTGGCTATCCACTCCTGAACCCATGCCAATGAATATGGCTCCTATCACTGGTGAAAATATCAGACCATTCATCAGCAGGTATAGTTGCAGTTCTACTGTGTTTGTAAAATGAAGATGCCTATGAGAAGTGTGTATGGTACTTTTATTTTTTTTTGAAAAGGCTTTTAATCTGTGTATTTTTATTTCATGCCTTTGAATTTAAAGTTTGAGCTCCTTTGATGAAATGTTTCAAGTGTGCCGGCTTTCAGTTTAAACTTTGATCAAAAAGGAATCCATTTTGGGGGAAACCCAAACACACAGAGCAGTCTATTTTGAGTCTAATTGAAATGAAAAGATTTACTTTGAAATTATGTTTTGCAAAAGCTATGATGTACTTTGAAGGATAAAAAGTTTTGAATTTATTCACAATTCTTGTTGAAAACAATTCTTCCTTTTTTGACTAGTCATAGCTAGAAGCTTTTCAGGGCTCAGTCTCCTTTTTGTTTGAAAATGGTAGCATTATTTAACATACTGTAGACTGCCAGGCTTCTTCCATTGTTTTGGCCATACTGCTTGAAAACAGCCATTATTGTCTGAATTAAAGGAAACAGCTGCAAAATCAATTGTCTATTTTTTAATAATTCCAGATAGCATAAGGTGTGGCACGTATATCAGACATAACTGCTCTGCATAAATCCAACACATTGAACTTTTGCTCCATTCTAAATTTTAAGGCCACTAGAAAAAACTATCCTGGCATAATATGCCAAGTGCTGGAGGCAGAGGTGTGAGCGAGAGTGTGGTGAACTGTACCACTGTCATTTGATAAGAATCTGACAAGGGGATGTCCAATTTATAACTTAAAATATAATCATTAGATATAGACATTATTATGATTTCTATCATTGCTTCTAATCTGCATCAGCTTTGGTTGATCGGTCTTTCTGTCGTATGAAGAGAATAGGAGTGGAGATTGCTGTTAGTGTTTTCTCAGGTCTCTATATACCATCCAAGAGAAAGGACAATTCAAATCTTCAGTGGCTTGTAGTGGTATGTTCAAAAAACTATTTGGCTCTACTGCAAAACCTTTGATATTTATTTTGTATAATAGGATTTATCTTGTGTCTGCAGTTGTACTCTGTTTTTGGCTTAGTGCCATAGAAATTGGTATGCCTTGAAAATGAGTGGGTACATTGAGAGCAAGAGTCTCAAGAGAGACCATAGTTTTTATTGGTGTTACTTTTTTGGTTTTTCAGTAGATGTGAATGTAAGGGGCTTGACTTTCAGAAAAATTCAAATGACCAGCCTCTGAAATTCATGTTCTTTTTATGCCATCCCTGATCAAGCACCCAAAATAACCTTTAATAAACACTTTTGAAACTCTTGCTCAAGGAGGTACCCACCAACCTTTTGCCGTATCTTATGTATATAGATTAGCTTTGACACCATAAATATATATATATCTGCATGTGTGTATATGTGTGTATATGAGTTTTTCTCCTTTTACCCATAGCAGAGAGTGAGATAATTGTAATACGCATTTTTCAAACCAGCAAGGAATCTGAGAAGACTATTTTTTCTATTTATTTTGTTAGTTGAGGCTTTTAATCCAATAGTTTTCCCTGTCCAAAAGTTGAAAGGTTTAGAAGTGTCACTTGCTGCCTCGGGTCATGAGACTTCTTTTAATGTAAGGCCTTCCACTGAAATACCAGAAATCTCTTGAAGCAAAGCAGAGCTCCAAGAATAGAGGCAGCTTTACATTCTTCTTTTAACTTACTCTTTCATTGATGTGTTTCTTAAAATAACTGTCTTGCTTCTGCACTGAAGATGAAGGCAGTAGGTATGAAAGCAGTCTCCGCAAGTCAGAAATAGAAGGCTTTCATTCTGAATTCCTTTGCTTCTGTGCATTTTCCAGAATCCAACTTAATCCATTTTACACTTGCTTCTTTTCACCGCTCTGATAGTAGAAATCAGACCGTTTAGTTCTAAGGATTTGTTTTGAATCACTTTCGTCATTGCGAACTGCCAATTTAGGAGTTGTACAAGAAAAAATTGATTATAACTAACAAATGCCCCATATTAATAGCTCCCATATTAAAATTTCTACCCCAACTCACTTTTTTTATGATTCTCCTGTGAAGGTATGATTGGTCATTGGATCATTCAGTAACCTAGCAGTTCTGAGAAACAATGAATTTATCTAAAGTAGAAGAACTAGTGCTGCATAGCTTTCTGAACAGTTGTTTTCAAGTCAATTGTTCAAGTTACTTTGCTAGAAATCTCTTGCTGAATATAAAACCACAGATGTAAATAAAAGCCTCTCACAAGGAAAATGCACGGGGAAGAGTCGGCGTTAGATTAGATTAGCAGTGATTACCTTTGCAAGACATTTTCCAGAGAGATGGCTTTCTCTCTGGAAGTCACGCAGGGCTATGTTTAGGGTAGTGAATTGCTTTTACTTGTCTCTGATCACAGTAGGCCACTTTTAAGAGATACTTGCTGAGTTACAGTGTTTGGCTATTTGCCTCTCATTTAGAAACTACAGTACAAATTGGACTAGAAAAAGACAACTACAATTATATATTCAGATAAGAGGTGTCTTGTTCTTTGCTCAGAGGAAGGCTGATAGGAATAAGACTTCATAGTTAAGCTGTCCCTACATAAATAAGAAAAAATAAAGAAGAAGTTGGTTGTTTTTCTAAATTAAACATTTTGATTTTCCTTTGTTTTTGAAGGTGACAGCATTTTCTAATTCAAGATTCCTTTAAGAAAGTAACTTCTGGAAAAAGAAGAAGTATTAATCCTCAGGTACATGTAGCTCATTCATGTCTTGGTCTTTCTAGATGCTCTGTGTGTGAAGCTCCTGCTATGGTAATAGCCGTTCACAGTCAAACAATTCAAATACCACCGTGTCCTGAAGGCTGGAGTTCACTTTGGATTGGTTACTCATTTGTCATGGTAAGTGCACTGGGGCATACTCTGAGCTGAGAAAAGCATTTGTTTTAGGCATTTGTTCTACACTCCTGTTCTGGGAAAGTTAATACCTGACTGTGTCACTTCAGGTCTTAGGAGAGCATTAGACCCCTACCCTTTCTGCTGACTTTAAAAAGATTTTGGCTAATTACTAATTGAGAATAATGCAATAGCAATTAGGTGTTCACTCTGGGGGAAACGCACACAGCTTGCTTTCTTGTTTGCAGCTCCAACACAGGATCCAAGTTCTGAATAAATGAGGAAATAAGCATATTTTTCCATTGTCCTTCTACATCTAAGTTGCAGCAGCTTCCTAGAGTGATAGCATATCAGTGCCTGTCCTCTTCCCCTTTTTTGATGAATAAGCCATCAGTTTTCAAACAGCATTTTTGACCTTTTATCCAGCTTCCTCAGCTATAGTAAAATAAATGGGGCCAAGGAGTGGCCTGGAAGAGCTAGCTCTGTAGGCCTCTATAGTGGTTAGCTGTTAGCATGCTTCTTGTCATGCTCGCAGCCTGTATCAACAGCTGCTCTCCCAGGCAAGGTCTGGGAATGGTCTGAGAAACAGCATGGACCCATGCCCACTCGGCAGTTGTAGAGAGGCCACAGCGATGTGGGGCGGAAGTTGGGTTAAGCTATTCAGATATAAAGCATACCAGTCTGTATGCCTTCTGGGCCTGAGAGCTGTCAGTCCCAAAGGATTTTTGTCCATAGAGCTGCCCTGAAGTTGATGTTGCTGGTGTGTTGTGCTGCTATTAAATGAGACAACCCAATGCCACCTCTGGAGCCTTTCACCTCCACTTTCCTGCTCCTCCTTGAGCTGAGACACAAAACAGCAGACAGACATGACAGAGGACAGGGAGAGGCATGTCAAGAAATACTTGTGCAAGAGAGTCCAATAAGTGTTGTAGCAGAAGAGGTAAAGAGTCCCCCTCTGACTGATACTTTTGCATTTTTCTAGCACACCAGTGCTGGTGCGGAGGGCTCTGGCCAGGCCCTGGCGTCTCCTGGTTCCTGCCTAGAGGAGTTCCGCAGCGCTCCCTTCATTGAATGCCATGGCCGGGGCACCTGCAATTATTATGCAAACGCTTACAGCTTCTGGCTTGCCACTATAGAGAGGAATGAGATGTTCAAGTAAGTTCATGATTTGTATTTCAGTATTTGAAACTCAGTCAAGCCTCGTCACTGAATAAGAGAAGTATTGTTTGGATATAATACATGGTTCAAGTATTGGCTGTGCCCCAGCCTGGTTAGCATATGCCGGTAATGATTTTCATTACAAAAAGACAAAAAAAATTATAATAGCTTTTGGGGGAATTAATGAATGCATCTTCCATTAGTGTTTACAATGTGTCATTTGTAGCTGGTGTTTTGCTTTTTGGAATAATCTGAGAGTGTTTGGGTTTCCACCATGTTTGATTGTGTTCACTGAGTTGTAACTGGGATAGGCTGATGTATTGATTGAAATTATGTTAGAATATAACATTCTGTCTAGTGGACGTTAACACATAATAGAACCACTTTAAATTAGTGCAGGTGTTGAACTGAGTGAGCTGAACAGTTATTTACCTTTCCCTAATATTGGAGGAAGTAAGTCTGAATAAAATGCAGCTGAAGGCAGAGGCCTTAGGCCTCAGTCCCACTGAGGTTCTAATTTCAGGAATCAAGTGGTAGTAGGCTTTGTTCTGGTCTCCTGCACATAAGTATTTTTCCACACAGTCTAATTTGTTCCATATGAATTTTATCAATATGTTAGCATATAGATCGGTTCCCAGGTCTGCACAGCTTACCTGATCAGCAGACATTCCTCTGGAGTGCAGGCAAACATCCTCTTCCACCGCAGTCCAGGCTGTTCCTTCTGGTACCCTTCATCTATTCGTGTCTTCTAGATCTGTGGATGCTCCTTAGCATGTCTCAGTCAAAATGAAGCAGGTTATTCAGCCAGTTTTGACTGTTTGTCTATGAGATAGTTGTCAGCTAAGTAGGTAGAAAAATTCAGCACGGGGATAGATTGTCACTGGGCCTGTGATAATATTATCAACCGGAAAGGCTACTACTGAAAGAACCCATTTGCCAACATTGGGGTAAGCACTGGCTCCCTAGGAAGAAGAGAGCTGTCAGAGGAAAATTTAGGGGAGTCAGTACTACAGTTGTGTGGATTCATTGAGTCCTACCCAGAAGCCTGTCAACTTCATACCCTTTTCTGTCTGCAAACTGTATCTCAAATTAATAAAATAATCCCAGATCAGGGGACCTGTCCTCCTATCATAATTCACAAATGCTCTTCAGTTTCCTATAAACTCATAAGCCATTTTAAAGAAAAGCATTAAATGTAGCACACGTTTGTCTGAAAATGCTTTATTTCCAGTTGCTGGGAGTAACTCCATATGATAGGGTAGAGACTACAGGTTTTGCTTTGTCTTTCTGTACAGTGTCACATAATTTCCTTTGCTGGCTTTTTGTTGTTCTGTAAAGTCACAAGAGTTAGCAGAAACTCATGAACAGTCAAAAGTCTTCAGTTTCTTTGGCTTTTTTTTTTTTTTTTTTTACTACCCAAATTCCAGTATGTTTTCAAATTGCTGGTTAAACAGGTAGTGTCTCCTGGTTAAGAAAACGTTCAGCCTCATGGCAGAACTGAATTCTGAAGTAACCGGAAGTAGATGATCTTTAAAACTAATCTTGTGATAGTTTGTGACCAAACTTGAAAGTGAATATACATTGGAGAACTTAGGGACACCTTCTTGATTCAGCACAGCTTAAAAAGGCACTTGGCTGCATGCAAGGTTTGTGTTGACAATTATAAACCTGAAAACTGACTATTTGTATCAACAATTGTTAATGAGTCTATTCATTTATTTATTTTTAACAGGAAACCGACTCCCTCAACTTTGAAAGCAGGAGATCTGCGCTCAAACGTTAGCCGTTGTCAAGTCTGTATGAGACAAACATAATGACTTTTGAATTTCAACTAATTTCACACAATATGGTGCTATTCGTTTAACAGCAATGAAGCCTAGACATATATCATATGTACCTCATTGTTGTCCAATATGAAAACAGTAAAGTGCCTTTTAGGAACTTGCATAACTAACACACACTGCTTTACTGGCCCTGTCCTTGCTGAAGAAGAAAAGAGACAACAAAGATAAGCTTCAAATGTTGACATGCCAAATGGCACTTTTGATTGAAATATATGTATTTTTTATATAAATGCAATGCACTGATATAATAAAAAGTCAGCATTTATCCAGAAAAAATGCAAAGGTGCTAGGAGGTATGCAGTTCTGCCTTATACTGTTTGACCCCCCTTTCTCATTCTTGTATTATATATTTAGATTCATTTTTCTTCCCCAGATAAGTTTGTTGTTACCGTTATCTAGGTGTCTCAAAATCCCAGACTCTTGGGTATGTACTTATTGTTCCTGTACAAAGCAATACTGATGTAAAAAAGAGTTTTGGGATTACAGACTGTGGTTAAGCAACATGTAACCATCTTTTCACAACATAGAGTGCCATCCTGCAAACCTTTGCTTCTATTTGTAGTCTTTAGTGCTATTAGTTTTAATGGGACTACATCTGGAAGAGATTGCCAAATTGGTTTCCCAAATAGGCAAATAAGTGTTTCTGCTATGTTGGTACTATGCAGCTTCTTTCTGCAGTAGAACAAACTTTCCTGTGGAATAAAGAATGATCCAGCAATGGTCAAGAAAAAATATATATATAAATATTTTAGTAATTTATATAGATATCAACCATTAGGTAAATCAAGGTCTGAGTTTATCATTTCAAAAAGAAGCTTACAAAAGTTTTCTTCTTTTCAGTGTCATGAATTAGATGTTAAATGCCAAAATATTATGTGAAATGTTCATTTTACGTAGGCCATTTCAATGCTGAAGTTGCAGAGACTGAACCCAGGTTAATAGCTATTTTTGTTTATTATAGTAAATCCTGCTTTGAGCTTATAGTCTTTATTCTGTATTTAATATTTTTCAGGGTTTTAAACACTACTCACACACTGAATGACTTGATTTTGAAAAGTATAAGGCCTTAATTTTGTTAATACTGTGCCAAAAAATTCTACAAAGTGGCCTCAGAAATATTTCTAGAGAATTTCTATGCAATGATACCATTGTTTGAGCACATCTGTGTCCAAAAGTGTTTTATAGAACATTACCATGCAAATACCAAGAGATTTTTGCAAATGCCAAGGCCTTTGTGTAATTTCTTACATGTGTATTTCTTAAGAATTCAAGTTTGTAATAAAACTATTTGTGTAAAAAAAACAGAAGAAAAGAAAAAGTTTTTACTAATTTGTTATTAGCATTCATTTACAGCAATTAATTAATTTTTCATAAGCCACCAATAAATGCACAAGCTTGATGAAATCCTAGATTATTTTTGTTTTGCACATCTTTCAGATGTACAAAGCATCTTCAAAAGGGGAAAAACCAGGACACTGTGTTGACACCTCTGTTGTTACCTTGTAAGAACTGGTACTGATAGACGAAACATGGGTTATGCATCTGTGACTGAAATACATGTGATGTGAACATGTTGCAGAAATCTGGTAACTTCATCTTAGCTCATAGGAAGCAATCAAATTGTACACATTTTTCACTCTTCCCTTGAATTTTTCGTGCACAAATCAGAACTGAATTAGACAGGATAAAAATTAAAGTATCTCATGTGATTTTGCTTGTAAGTGGGCAACGTGAACCTTGGCTCTGGTTGTCCTAAGAGGAAATGGGCTATGATATCTTTTTACTTTGGGAAAAGCACATAATTTGTTAATATTTTATGTTGTTTTCCCAAGTTTGTGAAGATGCTGCTGCTGCTGCTGCTGTTCTGAACTTGCTTTCATTTAAAATCCTTGAGGACAATGGCTGGCCAAATGGCTGAGACCCCCTGTGCAGAAATTTGCCATTTCTTTTAGCAGTGGTTCTTCATTCTCATGGAAGTTTTGACAGATGATAATTTTATTTATAAATGATAAGTCCTCACAAAAATCCCTACAAGCCTATAAAATACAGGAGTCTGGTAGTGTCAAATCAGCCTGATGCGGAGTTTTCCAAAGTGCCGCTTGTTATTCAGAAGAAGAGGAGAAGAAGATGGGGTGATTCCCTGTGGCATCTAGGAAGAATTAAGCAGATATCCAGCCTTCTTTAACTTAGAGGATCCAAGCTGCTGCTCAGACTTTTTAATTGCACTCTACAGCTTGTCTCCTGGTCAGCTGGGGGTTTAATTTGCTTGGTTTGGATTGACTCAGAACTGCCAGACAGTTGAATTTAGTCCTGCATGTATGTTTAAGTCAAATCTGTGAATAAGAGTACAATTCCTTTTGCTAGTGAAGGGACGACTCTTTGCAGCTGGGTGTGTACTAACCTGTGTTTTCTCAACTAGGAACATTTCGGAAACAAGTTCCTTTGAAAATTTTCAAAAACTGTTGGAACTACAGTTTGATGTCTTACTTATCTAATAGTAATTGTTTGTTCCATAACCTCCAGTTCATAAAATGACCTAAACTATTGCCATGATAAAGATGTTATTTCTACTTAAGTCAATGGGTAAACTTTTTGGTGGTTATCGAATACCAATCAATCTACTGAAAATATTGTGAACACTAGATTTTGATACCCTGGTTGAGGAAAAGCCCATGTGCTAAAGCAGAAAAGAAGCATGAAACACTTTCTTGCTTTCAAAAATCTGTTAAGTGCCCCATATTCAGTCATTTATGGCCAGCGTTGTTGCTAGAGTACGGTTCATCGTGTGAACAGGCAACTGCAGACACATCATTTGTTAAAATTGTCTTGCATAAGCTTAAGTTTCAGGAGAAAGCTTTCCTAAAGAAGTATGGCTTGTTTAGTAAGCCTGACTGTTTTTGAATGCAGTACTTGAAGAGTAACTTTCATGACCCAAATAAATACATTTCTAAATCAGCAGGTGGTGCCCTTGCTCTCTTTATGGTAAGATTGGTACTCACAACTTTATTAAATGCCTTGTTCTCTAACCTAGTTAAATGTAAATCAGCCTGGCAGTTCACTGTTTCCCCAAGTCTCTGTCTCTATTCTGACGTGTTCTAGTCACCAGCAATATTCCCTCTGAAACAGGAATGGAGCAGTCTTCAGTAAAAACATTAAAAAAAAAAATAGACAAAATAAAAATAGAATATCATGAAATAATCCAATATATATTTTAATACAAATTATCTCTTAGCCTGTGTGTCTTTTCTGATAGATGTACATTCAGTTTATAATTACATCTTTTAGCCTTTTCATAGTGGTGACTTCCCTGATGAAATACACTTTTTTCTATGAAACAGGACTCCTGAGAACAATATCCCCGTACTAGGCTCCCTGAGAAGTGACTGTATTAAAGCCAGACCTTTTTATGACTGAAGTCATAAAGCTGCGTGACTTTCTGAGAACACCTTTCCTACCTTTCATGTTCTACCAATCTTGAGTAATTTGCACTAACTACACAAGGCAGAACATAAACATGTAAAAAGCAGGGCCAGGCACGTGGGTCCCAGGGCACCCACTTAAACCCAGTAAACAGAAAATATGGCACCTGGCACAAAGACAGGCCCCTGTCAATTTGAAATCGCAAGTGTCTCGGTATCTGCCTGTGTCTCCATCCCTTGCTCTAATAGCGGCGATTGGCAGTGCCTGCACTGGGACCTTCAGGAGTCCAGCAGCGTTCTTCCCCAGGCTGCGGTGCAGCTTCCTCTTTCTCTTTGCTGTTCACGTAGTGGCAGCGATGCACTGCCCACTGCATTTCTGCCTCTTCATACAGAAATAATCTTTCTTGTGAGCTTCACATTCTGAATCAGATAACACTGTGAGAATGTGAGAAACCTGTGTGGATCCTTAAATGCATGCATCAGGCTCAGGGTGATGCTGAGACCAGTGATGGTCTGGGATATAATTAATAATTATTAAAAAAAGAAGTATCCAGTGGCCACATGGAAGCATTCAGCCTCTCTGTTTTCAGACTGAGGCAAGAGTGTAGAGAGAAGGAAATCATTGCACCCATCCACTAGTTATAGTCTAGCTTATTTAGTATGAATGTATTATTAATTGTGAGCTTGCAGTACTGGGGAGGTCTCTATAGCTTAATTATAAATAAAAAATAATATGCAAACTTATTTTTATCACTAACAGCTGAGCAAGAAGCACCTCATTTTAGTTGTGAAAGATATACCAGTCAGAACAACCTAAAAAAATAATTTCCAGAAAGTATACAATTTTTAAACAACTCTCTTTCTTCAGAGTGTCAGAAGAAAGGCCTTCCAATAAATGGAAGGAGGTGGTGTGTGGTTTTGGTTATTTCTCTCTAGCAAACAATATGCTTGTTGTATTGCTTTAGATGTTAATACCTGTGGGAGGATAAATCACTATTACGTCTCATGAACTCAGAAATGCTTCCTAGGGTAAAGATGTTTCACCCAGCCAGGCTTACTGACACCACCTTCTGTCTTCAGCTCCCACTGTCAGAGGCTGTCACTCTGAGCTGAATATTCTTATTTATATTTCAATGTTGATTTCTAAAGATATATTCCTTTCCAACTTCTTATTGTCTTCAAACCAAAGAGAACAGAGCATTGCTTTTATGTAAACCATCAAAAGATTTACAAATGTCTGAATCTTTTAGTTTTGCATATGTTAGGGAGCTGCTTTCATTTTCTTCTGGCCATAAGTAGTCAGCTGTATTTATTATAATTGGCGTACAGAGGACAGAAGACTTGACAGAGTGAAAGTTATAGATGGAATGTGATCATTTGATGCTCTGTCAACTCCTGTCTTGCCTAAGAAAACATGTTGCACTTTATGCAGAATCGTGGCAGGCTTCATTTGTCATCCCAGCTCCATGAAGTATGATTTATGCTGTAGTAAATAAGCATGTAAAGTGGCCTGGGCAGGGCAGGAGAAAGTCCTTGTAAAGCAGTTTAAAGAGCATTGATCAAACCTTTTTATTATTCTTAATGCACAGCTTTTAGACCGCTGGAACTCACTGTGTGCTTTCTCTAGAACCTACCTCTCAGGCTTGCACCAACATGGTTATTTCTCACCATGGGTTCCTGGAAGAGGTTCAAAGTGGAGGGTGCTAGCACATGCCCAGTGCTATCTTCTGCCAAAGCTTTTGTTATCTTTGTGGGCATAGTAGCTGGCAGTGGAAGATGTTGCCCTCTTCCTATTTCCTCTAAATAATTATAGCAGCATTTTTTCCAGCCTAATTTTGGACATGAACCTGTTTGTGAGATGTGATCAAAGTGGCAACCAAATCATAGGGACTTGAAATGCAATCACATGAATCACATGTCAAGAATTGTTTCTATGTACCGCTTTCAAAAACGTATCTGGGAATCCCCGCACTATCTGTGATGCTCAGACACTGGCTCCGAGGGGAGTCACAGTATCATTTTACAGTTGTATTGAGATTTACCTCCTATT